CTTGTTGGAAGACAGGCTGTGACTGAATGTTTTTTCCTTTTTTTCTCACTCGTCTCTTTTCTTCTATATTCATCCCACCTTTTCAGCCAGCAACCAGTGTTTTCCATGGCTATCATTTTGATTCTGATTGGAGCACATGAGCACTGCCTTGATCATAGTCTGTGGGCCTACACAGTTTATTCACACCTCCTGCTGTTTATTCACACAGCTTTGTGAAATGCTCACCATGGCATGTTAATACACAATGAAGATTCAGTTGGGCTTTGTGCATTACAACTGTATTGGCAAATGAGCTGCCATATTGTCATCTTCATTTCAGTATTTTCTGTTCCCTTTTAACTGGAGTTGTTTACTGTGGCATCTAGGCATCATAGGATCTTTCAGCAGCCTCGTTAAAATGTTTATTGTCACACACTTCTGTTATAAAAAGATTTTATCAAGCATTGTTCTATGGATGGCAAATGTCTCAACAACTGTTGGATGGATTAGCAAGTTTGTACAGACATTCATGTCCCCCTCAGGATGAATTATAATAAATGTTACCTTTGGTGATCCCTTAACTCTTAATCTAACAGCGTCATACATTTTGACATTTTAAAATGTCACATTATCTGATACTGGCGACCTGTCCAGGTTGTTCCCCGCCTCTGGCCCAATGTCTGTTGGGATTGGCTCCAGCCCCCCCGCGCCTCTGCACGGATAAGCGGTTATAGATGATGGATGGATCGATGATACAAAAACTTGCAAAGCTAATGACATTCCCATTAGCTTCAGCTGTACATTATGTTTAGTGCTAATTAGCAAATGTTAGCATGCTTTTAATACACTAAACTAAGAGGGCTCACTTTATAAACATTATACCTGCTGAACACAGGTGTGTTAGCATTGTCATTGTGAGCATGTTAGCATGATGCTGGTAGCATTTAGCTCAAAACCCTGTTGTGCCTAAATGCAGCCTCACATAGCTGTAAGCATGGCTGTAGGCCATTCATAGCTATGTCACAGATTTGAAGTTTGTTTCCCTGTGCTCCCTAACTTGTAATACTCCTTCAGAACAATGCAGTACATGCACTGTCCATTTATCAGATCTGGAACAACCTGCATGACGAGTTTGCATACTTTAATAGAGTAGCAGAGCTTTGGTCCCAGCGTGGTATCTTGACAGAGCTCATTAAGTCAAGTCAGTGAGAGGATGCCTCAGCTGGCCTGGAGGACTCTGGCAGGTGCTCGAGTCTCTCTGCCGATGTTCAGTTTGGCTGTTTGGCTGCGGGGCATCTGGTTTCAACACCCGCCAGCAGTATGCATAATTAAGCCCAATTTCCCTGACGGTGGCTGACATGCGCCAGTCACTACTGGGCTCCCTGCCCTGGGCTAGACTAATCCCTGGCAGTGTGGCCATACCGCTAATAGGCTGCAGGACGAATCTGTTTATTTGACACCAGGTTCACATGCTCACCTGGGTTCTTATTTGCTTAAACCTAAACCTGAATTTTGCCTTGCCTATTCCCCAAGGCTACATGAATAAACATGGAATCATAAATCATGACTTTTGGTTCCACTGTAGGATACTGGAAAAATAGAAACCTTTACTCTGAATACCTGTGTTGTTAAATTTGCTAACTTGTTGATGCAAGTTGTGCACTAGAATAGTTGCTCTGCAGGGCAATGAAACTAGAAATTCTAGTTTGTCCTGATTGCAATATATAGCAAAAAAAAAGAAGAAGATGAATCCTTATGATATATGATGCATCCCTGTTTTTTTCTACCTGCTTACCTGTCTGACAAAGATCAGTGAATATGGATCAATTTATCAACTATGAACTGACCAATAGATTTAAAGGCATCAATAAACTTAACTTAGCTGATAGTTAAGTCACTTGGTGTGAGAATCATGGCTGCAAACCAAACTCCAGTCTTTTTTTGCATTGTTTGTGCATTTAATTACTGAGCTCCATGGCATTTGGACTTCAGAATAAAGCACAGTGGAGATTTATGTTTAAGCCCACATATTTTGGAAATGAGTGTCTTTAAAAAAAAAAAATATCTTCAGTATGTGTGACTAACATCAGTAGACTAAATGCAGAGAATACATGAAAGACAGGAAATGTTATTATCCTTCCTCCTGTCATACTGGCCAGGCTTTGTACAACACAGAATTACAGCCCCCCCAGAATCGTTTTCAAACTCCAGCTTCATCCCGCTGATATTCCCTCAGGGAAATTAAGGATTAGCTCAGCCTTTCAAACAGGAATTCCTCAGTAGGTTTGCATGAATGTGCCCCTCCCAAACCAAATCAACTCTGTTTTGCCCATTGCCCTGCTAAGGGCCTAAGCCCGGTCCCTCAGTGAGGTTGGTTGTGAGCCGTAGTAAGAGGATGAAGTGGATTGTTGTGCACCACTCTGACTCATGCCCTTGAGTGCCGTGCTGCCAAAATGCTCAGAGGATGTAACACTTGGACTGCACTTGCAGCTGCTACTACAGGCAGCTCTGCTTACAGCAAATTTAAACACTATGACAGTGAAAAAATTGAATGAGCAGACATCATGTTCACTTTGCATGCAGGTGGTTTTGATAGCATACCCACATCCCAGATTAGAGCTGCAATATTATTAAAATGGAAACCAGAAAGCGACATCATAGTGTGGCTTGGAATGCATTACACCTCAGCAAGGTTTTCTTTGGCCATGTGGCTGATGTGACACAATATTTGTCTTTCTTAGTGCATTTTTAGAACTTTTTGGCAATGAAGCATTAGTCATGACTGCTGAGGGGGAACCAGTGTGCTAAGGCATCATATATTTTAGCCTTTTTTTGATAACTTTGACTGTGAAAGGGAAATCTTGCAATATGTCTCATGATACATCTGACTAAATGGATTTTAAACCAAGCAAGATGGAAACATATTGTTTCCCAAGAGTCATTTATTTTAAAATCTGGACTTGAACTACTGTGTTATAACACAAGATATGATAATATTTATATTGCTGTGTCTTTAAAGCTATTAAATGTCCTAATGTTCACTTGCACAACATGACAATCAATGCAATGGAATCACAAAGTCAAGTTAGTAATGTTCCCAAACCCGTCTTCTTGTATTACTCTGGCAGTTGTTACTGCCCAATGCCTGTTTTTGTTCAATTGCGCAGTTCACTCTTCACTGTTCATGTTTATGTTAATTTGTTTATGGGGTTTTTGCTGTAAGCCGTTACATAACTCTTTATCTAGGACAGCAACTAGAGGTCCCTGTCTCAGTTTTCCCTTTTGATGTATTCAGTGTTCATGTACAAGACAGAGTTGCTGTAATCTTGACTATAAATTTTACTGCTTCTGGAGGAATGGAAAGGAAGTGTGTCTGTGTGATGCCTAAAGAGCTGACATAATCGTAGCTCACACATTTTCCCGCCTCACTACCAGAAATGTATCAATCTCCAGCATTTCTTCCCGCCACATTTTCCCACTCGAGTATTTCCTCCCAGCATGCCCTGCTTTTGATGTCCCATATCTTCATGGCTGCCTGGCTTGGTTAGATGAGACCCAGAAAGTCTGCTGTAAGAAATAAACGGCTTAGGTTATGACTAGTTTAGTGTGTGCATCCCTGTGTGTCTGAGCTGTGTCGGGCCCATTGTTCTGCAGGCTATAGAGCCCTCCAAGACACTTATTTAATGAGACGGCTCTGACTGTGTAATTGCAGGCTGCTCTATTACGGGAGATGTATTTTAGGGGGGCAAAATAGCCATTACTGCGACAAAACCGGGGTGTGTGTGTGTGTGTGTGTGTGTGAAGTCACACAGAAGCACTGTCGCTGATATCAGGAGGCTACGCCCTCTAGACACTGATTCGGTCATGGATCAATTCATATTGTGTCTGTGAGAGTGTTCAACTCGTGGAGCTGATGTTAAATTGTTTTTCTCTACGCTAAAAACATTTGCAAATAGCCATGTGCTGTTCCCGCCAAAGGCTTTATTCAGAGAAATTACTCACCAGCATCAAAATCAAGCCTGTCATAATTTATGAAGCTATCCTTCTTTCAAATCAGTAGCTTGCATTTGTTTTGAGACAGTTTTCTATAATATATCAAGAGCTAAGTAAATAGTAAAAAAAGTAAATAAGATCTCTCTTCATTTTCTTCATGTTCGCTCCCATTCATGAATGATTCTCTGTGAGGCCCACTGGTTTTGCTCCCATTCCCTTTCTGTTTGGCAAAACGACTGTGGTCTCAGATATTTGGTTCACTAGTGCTGGGATTTCCGTGTCACATGATTTATTTAGTATGTGTTAAGGTCTTTCAGAGAGCCTTGCATCCCAGCCCTGGCACTCTGTCTCACCAGACATCCTTTAGCTTCTTAAATGACTCCCTCCATCTCTCTGTCCTGCCCCCACCCTCTATCATCGTCCTCTTCCCCTCTCACCACAGAGCTCTTTGCAAATTAAAAGAAACAAACCAATCTCAGCTGACAAGCTGAGTTCAGCTCAAGTGAATGAGAGTGCCGCGCTAATGTTTGGCTACCTTACACTCTGCCCTCTTCAATGTTTTCTGGCTCTGTCCCAATGCTTTGTTTGTTGTTGCTCCCACTGCATAACAAAAGCCTATTCTGTTTCAGGACATTGCCTAGAATAATCAGGCTGAAGTTGCATGGAGTCACTGTAAACCAGACATAATTGGCTCATCTTAGCCGGTGCTCGGTGTGATAGTGTTTCTTTTCCTTCCTTATTTTCCGGCTCGACGCTGCTGCAGGCCTGTGCTTCTTCATTCCTGTCCTCTCACATGTTTCTCTAGAAAGAGAGAGAGAGAGAGAGTGCATGAATGTTCCCCCTCACCTGTGTGCAGGAGGGGTTGGGCTGTGATGTGAAGTGGCTGCCGTGAGAGACTGGGACCCTGAGTTAGCAATCAGAACAGAATCAGTCACACCCACAGTTAGACACTTTACAGAGGCCCTGTTTGTTTGGTGTGTCTGTGCTGTGTGTATTTTCTGCCTAACAATCCTGTCTACTCCTAACAGTATCTGGAGAGGCCCCAATGTGAATTGTGTGGACAGCACTGGATACTCCCCTCTTCACCACGCTGCCCTTAATGGACACAGGTAGATGTGATAAATATCTCCGGGAATTGGGAGAAATGCCTGTGTTGGAGCCTGTTTCAGCCCTTCTGTTAATGCCCTACATTAAATGAGGTCTGCCCTCACAGACAATTGTCCCACTGGGAAGATAAAGATATTGATTGGGTGTTTGCATAGTCTGTGTGTATTTCAGCGTGTGGTTTATGGTGTTAGCTTTTTCTGACTTGCACTTTCTGTTCCTTCATCTGCAGCGAGGTGGTGGAGGTGCTGCTACGAAACGAGGCCTTGACCAACATCGCTGACAACAAGGGCTGCTACCCTCTTCATCTGGCTGCGTGGAAGGGAGATGAACATATCGTCAAACTGCTCATTCACCAAGGACCTTCACACCCCAAACTCAATGAGCAGGTCTGGCGCCGGGGCTGCATATACTCTTATGTGTTTGTGTCGTGGTCTCTCTCTTCTTCCCTTTTAAGGTTTCAGTTTGGGTTTACCATGCTGATAATATCGTGAGTTGTGAAATGACATCAGTACTAAATTGTATTGTTCCTCCATCTGTTCAGAGTTTGTATATTATATGTGTCTGTGTAACATTTTTGGCCTCTTTTAAAGTAAAGAAAATGTAGGTTATAATCCTGAACGCTTTGCTTTTCAGCTCATGTGTTGACTTCTATTAGTTTCACAATGAGAGTTGTAATGGTTTAGTCAGCAGCCTTAGAAAGTCAGTTATTTTTCAACTTGGTAAGGAAGTCATTTTTAGCAACTAAATGCCACGTGGAGATATTTCAAATTCTTCTTCAGCATGGCATGCTCTTAACTGTATTTGAACATTGTAAATGTCAAAAAGATTGTGACCAGAGTTCATTAACATCAGCGCATCACGAGTCTGACTTCTACTGTGATACTTGAAGTGCTTTGACGCCATGCTAATGTGAGAAGTGCTTGTTTGCTAACCATTTTAACTGTTTCAACTCATTTGTTTCATATTTTGTTTGGTTGCTTACTGCACAGACGGCCTCCAGGTCGGCACCATCTCTGGGCTGTCCTATTTGGGATGTCGGAGAAATGACCCATTATGAGCTCCACATATGTAGCCTGAGCCATAACATTTTATCAAATGTGCCACCATCAAATGTAGCAATAGATGAACAAGTATATTTGTCTCATTTTGTGTCATTTCTCCCTGCCTGTTCATGACATCTGATTGTTCATTAACTCAACCTAATTTTTTTCTCATCTTTATTTAGTCAGACTCATTTGTGATCATCATTCATTTGTTCATTGCTTGTCTGAACCAAAGCCATTGGCCTATCTTCTCTTCCTCCCTCGCAGAGCTCTGTAAGCCATAAAGAGTTCAAACGCTGTGGGCCCTTTGACCCCTATATTAATGCCAAGGTGTGTACACAGTGCTGCCGAAACATTTCCTTTTGAAGTGCCTTCTTTGCTATGCTCCTGTGTTGGCTTGCTGTGCTTGGGGTTCGTTTGCTGCTGCTGCTGCTTGTGGGGCCACTGTGCTGCAGAGATATGGGGAGGCTTTTAATTTTACTGACTATCGATAGATCCCTATCCTCTGGCTTTTCCGCTCATGTTCACTTGTGATCTCCAACGTTTTTTGAGATGTTATGTTTAACATGAGTGACACTGCATTACAACATGCCCTCCACCACAGAAGGTAACTTTGCTACATGTTACAATATTGTTTTACCAGCCATACAATCAGGATCAGGAGTAAACTAGGTTTTAGAAACAATGCCAGAGAAAGTTCAGTCAGTGCTGGTCTTCTGAGGGCCACTGCAGGTGATCTGTGAGTCTGGGTGTTTTTTCCTGTGGTGCTAAAAATATAGGGAAATTGATATGAAGATGTGTATAATAGGCAGCCTGAAGTAGTGCAGTTGTTGGCACCACACAGCCAGCAATAGGAGAAAATACTGGCTGCCCAAACCACACTAACAATTAAAGCTCAATTGGCTGATGGATTGTGTATTGCTACAAATTGAGTGCCACATAGATGCATTGTGTAGTGCTTGTGGTTATTGTCATCATTCAATTACTAAATTAATCATGTACACTATAAACAACATAACAAATGGTAAACAAGTGTTACCCTAATACAATCTGACCTTAAGCTACAAAGCCAAAAGTATTTAGTTTATTATAATACACATAGGAGCAAGTGACCAATTCTTATATTTTTAACCATGCTAGGAATGTGGCTCTAGGTTTGGCAATATTGGTCAGTCTGTTGGTCCACCGCTGTCCAGACTGAAATACCTCAAAAACAAACATTCATGGTCCCCATAGGATGAATACTAGTGACATTGGTGATCCCTTCACTTTTCCTCTACTGCTATTAGATGGATTGTCGTGACATTTGGTACACACATTCTTGTTCCCCTCCAGAGGAATTTTCATTACTTTGATCATCTGAGTTTTCATCTAGCACCATTATCATATCAAATTTTATTAATTTGTCCAATACTTACCAATACCACATACATGCAAATCAAATTCAAATCAGCCTCAGCTGTTTTCGTTTAATTAGTTAGCCAATGTTAGCCTGTTAACATGCTACACTAAGATGGTGAACATAGTCAACATGACTTGCTAAACATTAGCATGTTAGCATTGTTATTGTGAGCATATTGAGAGCTGACATTGTCTCTGACAGTCAGAGCACTGGAACATACTGGTCGCTCCATGATTGCATTTTCAGCAGGCAGAGCTGGAAAGCCATCCAAGCCTGTAGATGAAGCTGTACACTATATTTGAGCTTTTTCACATTTCCCCTGAACTAATCTTCTTAGTGTCTGGATGGGAAGGCCGGCTTTCTTTAATGCTGCTATATATTAGAGTGTGTGAATTTTGGTTGTCAGCGATTGTCTTACTTTCTTTTTCCATTTAATCTATTTGAGGGATTTAACATTGAGTCTAGTTGTCTGCTGGAGATTATGGATGATTATGGATTCATCTAAACACTTATAGGATAGTTTGGCGATCACTACCTACCTGGTCATGAGTCTGAATAATTGAAGCATTGTTATGAATAAATCAAAAACATGGTTGTAGTTATGGTTGATGGCATCTTGTGCCTGAGTGTGCGGGGTGTGTCCTGCCTCCCCTCTCATCACACTCCAGGACCAGAGAGCTATCTCATGAGGATGCGGAGGAGGCTGGGAGGATTTCAGTGTACCAGTCTCCTTGCATCAGCATCAAAGAGAGCTTTCCATGCCTTGCTTCTCTGTGTGTGAGTGTAAATGTGTGTATTTGCCCCTCCTCCTCCTCCTCTTCTTCTCCCCACCTCCCAGTTTGTGCTTGGGAGCTTGCGTTGCTACGGAGAGGAAGAGGTGGGACGTTGTCATAGTAACCATGTCACGGCTTATTGGTCGTGCAGTGGTGGTGAGTGACCCAGTAGAACGATGTGGCGTTTGTGCAGAGTGAGCTAGCCAGACATGAAAGGTGTGTGTGGATTATTAGGGCTTCAGTGGTCCCTCAGTGTCCCTCAGTGGGACACTTAAGGAATCGGCCTGTACTGGGTCCAGGTTTCTGTCATTCTGTTCCAGGAAGCCAGCCAGAACATTGTTTATTAATTTTACCTCTTTCCTACTGATAGTGTCCTTGGTGTGTTGGCCATTTTGATGTTTCAAATACCTCAGTGGGGGACAGCTAACCACTAACCAGTGGACCTGACCTGGACTGAACCCGCCTGTATATCTGTATATTGGGCTTACACTGGTGCAGTGCATACTGCTCTAGAACATTACTGAAAAACAAGTTGTAGGCACTGGAGCTGAAGTGATTAGTTCAGTAACTGATTAGTCAAAAAACTGATTATCAATTTCATTATGGATTAATCTGACTTATTTCCTAGAATAACTGTTGCTGGTGGAAAACGGCCATAAAAATTTCCTACCAATTACCCTTTTTATCAGACCAACTGAAAAATTATCAATTTCCTATCATGAAAGAAAGACAAAGAAAAGCAGAAAATCCTCACAATTGAGGACCAGAGAACTTTTTTTACTTTGCTAGAGAAAAGAATAAATGATCAAAATTGTTGCCAATAAAATTTTCTGCCATTGGACTAATTGATTAATCGTTTCCAGGGCTCTAACTGAAAGCTGATGACACGGAGCAACCTTTAGAGCAATGGTGCTAGACAATGTTGCCATCAGTGGTGAGTAGTGAGTAGTGATGAGTAAAGATTACTACCGTAATCCCCTTCCCACACCACTCCGCCACCCGCCCTGCCCGCCACTATCCGTTCAAAACATAGTCAGATTTACCACCAGCAAGATTGCCCAGCAAAATTGCTTAAAATTGCTCTTCAGCGTAAGGGTGTCATGCTGCCCAATTCATTTTGGGATGGTCACAGGCAAAAGGTAGACCTAGCCTAACTTTGAATAAACTGGTACATTAATCTCTTGAAGTTGTCAATATAGAATTGAATAAATGTGTTATGAATAAATACATGAATATGTATATGTAAAATGTGAGCTCATTTATAATTTAATATTCTCCATGGTGTTTTATTTATGCCACTCATAACTTTTAATTATCGAGTCAAGTTAGACCTCTGGTTTCAGCTCTAAATATAATAATCTTTCATAATCTTTCAAGCAAGTTCAAACATTCTGTGGTTGCAGCTCCAACAGAGGTTTGTGAGAAAACTACATGTTTTAATAACCATTGTAGGAACCCTGGCTTCAATAGAGGCTATTTTAATGAACCATTTTAATTTACCTCATTTTTTTTGTTAATTACCATACATTCTGCATATTACTCCATAATAAGATATAGCCCTTGGTTTGTCCAGACACATATCACGCTACCTCTCATCCAGGTTTCAGCATCCTATATAGGTCATATGTCTAATACAATATATGCTTAGATGAGTTCCTCTGACCCAGGCTCAGATGTCTGGGCGCTCTGCCATTAACGTGAAATCAAACAACATAATGCACTGTACATTACTCTGGACAAATTTAAACACAGTAAAACTGATGCTCAAGAGCAAATAAGTGACATTTAATACAAATGAAAGCAAAATGTCTTTTGCTTTGAATGGTTATATGCTCATATTCGGACTGGAAATGGATCCATTTGTCTTTCTGTCAGGCTTGGTGTGCAGTATCTCAGGGGGCTGACATGGGAAAGGTTTCTGATGGCAGCCACAGAAGTAATTTCTTCGAATTTGGCCACCTCATTATCAATGGAGCAGTGTTTCCACTCCTTCCTCCAGGCACAACGCTCAGAGTTCTACCAGTCCGCTCGTTTATCCCCTCTGTCTGTCACTTCGGTGTCCAGCTCTTCCCTCAACAACACATCATAGCCCCTCCCTTTTATCTTCTGCTCGCTGCTTATCCTCCAGGACTTGTGGCTGATGCACATCTGACCAGCCCTTTAGGGTCCGTGTTGTTATTTAACAGAAGGATTAGGATTTCTCCATTGTCATGCATTCACATTTGCAAGTTTCAGGGTGTGTCTTCTGTGGCAGTTGGAGCCATTCATTGCTGAAGGAGAAGCAGAGATAATATATATATATATATATATATCTAGCTTTTTAGGTTAGTTGTGTTTGGAAAGTGTTTCTCATTTAATCAAGTGGAATATGAAGGGGGAAACTAATCTTTCCTCTGAAAGGAAGAAAAAGTCCACTGTACGGAGAGTCACAATCTATGGCAGGAAGCCAGTTAGACACTCCTCTCATTATAGAACTGTAAGGCCGGTTTACTCAGTAATGAGTGACAGTGATAAATCCAACAATAAAAATCTACTATTAGAATCAGTCTTTATATTATTGTTGCTTTGCATTTAATGGAAAGAACACTGGGAATATAGATGAGTATTTACGGGGCTCTTGACAAATGGAGAAAGATATTAGGGCCGCAACTATGGAGTTTTTCCATGTCCATATTGAGGGTCTAAAGACAGAGGGTGTTGTATGCTGTACAGATCATAAAGCCCCCTTAGGCAAATTAGTGATTTGTGATATTGGGCTAAATAAGTAAAATTGAAATGACTTGAAGTTGACTATAAACATTTAATAAATGCATTATAACACACTGCAATGTAGTTGTAAGCAGATATCGGTGAATAATAATCTGTTTATCAACACCTATAACTCCTATGGGCATCCATTATTGGAGGTTGATGTAAAAACACATAATGACAATATAGCAAAATATAGTTGTTGTTGTACTAGTAATAATAATAAGGGTTTTCATAAGTTAAGATACAATTGTTGTTAAATCCTGTACATTAATAAAATAATAATTTATCTGTTTACAATTGCTAATGTGTGTTATAAACCATTTATTAAATGTTTATATAGTGCTTCTAAATGCGAAGTGGGGGGGTGGTACCATACAATTTTTAAGAAGTCTAGATTATGCAATTGACAGCCGGATACTGAATTTCCAAAACATTTGTTTAACTCTCTCACAAACTGATACCCTCTTGTGCGTGTGCACATGAGATGATATCCATCATTTGTATGAATGCGAAAAACTAGCAGGATTTCAGATTGTGACAGTGGACACAGGCATGCAGCGAGCATAGGCAGCCCTTTGGCACACAAGCTGCAACAGCTGCTCAGCCCACCCCTCACCACCCAGCACTACTACTACCACTACCAGGGGCCGGGGGTGACGTAACTACAGCCCCGCTTTGCTGCCAGCCAGCACGTCACGTGACAGCGGTCGCTAGTCAAAGCACGTTACCATCTCCCAGGCCCAGGCTGTGAGAATCATAACATCTTCTGTTCTCTCTGTCACTGTGCACCTCTTTTCCTCATCCGCACAGTATTCAGCGGCAGGAAAACCCAATGGAGCGTAATCTCCAGATGTTCCTAGTTAGGGCAGGGTTTATCAATCAGCAGCAGACACCAGTGGAGATCTTAATCTCTTCTTGTTCGACATGCACAAGGTCTAAATCAGGATGAGGTTTTATTCTGCAGCACAGTCAAGAAGACAGGATTTTCATAAAAACATGTACTGTCCAGGAAGTCTTGGCTTTGCCATATGAATTCTAATCTCTCTCCCAGCCACGCTGCCAGTCATTGGTGCCATTTTGTGTAATAGCCTTCAGAGCTCTGTCTTGTTAGTACATTATTTTTTGACTGCTCACTTAGGCTGTGGTAGATGTGGAGACAGTGGAGAAAAGGCTGATTGTGTTCTTTTATAGTGAATTTCATGCTGGAGCTCACGGAGTCCTTTTTATACAAGAACAAGTGTTTCACTGAAAATCATAATCACCTATTTAGTTGAACAGTGTTTTGAAATGGTTTTTTTTTTTTTTTTTTTTTGCTGTAGTGCTATCGGTCTCCTATAATTTTGTTTTAAATCAATTTTTAGTTCCCCTCATGCCATTGTTTGCTCTTGTTTTTTTATGACAGAATGTTGGTGTGGGGCTATTTGGGAGTTCCTGGAGAGGCCCTACAGTGGAAGACCCCTGTGTGAAAAACATGAGTAGCATAGCTTTTGTCAAAGGAGGCAAGGCGAGGCTTGATGTTTCATAGCTGCTTGTTTCCTATCAGCGAGTCTAGCAATGTTTAATGCTATCAGATGATAACTGACGCATAGCTATAGAGCAGTGACCACCACAATAGCAGGGGAGGCACTTGGTCTTAACATAATCATAAGTTCAAGGTATCAGTCCACCAGGTGTCTGTTGCACTCCTGTTTCATGTTTTAGTAGTACACGCATTTCCAAAATTGCCATTGGCCTGCTGTTTGAGTCAGTTGTTTTGGACGCTTTGTGTAAATCATTGTACGCTAGATTTACTTGGATTACTATTGAAGCGGCAGACCTGCATATTTGAGGGAGTGAATCATGCTGATGTAATCACAGAGTGTATGTTTGCCTGTTGAAGTCATCTTAATACTCAGAGTAAATCTCTCTAAAAAGCTACATCAAATGCGTGTTGGTGCGTCACAGATGAGAGACGGCATGCTCTTTTTATGTGCGGTCCGGCCATCTCTGTGTGCACACAGGCAACTTTGTTTTGAGCCGAAGAGAATACTGCAGAAAAGAGAATCCCAAATCCAACTGATGAAACCACCCAGGCGGTGAAACCCGAGGTCGCTTTGGTTTAGTTCTCACAGAAAGGCTGCTTTAAACCCCCTTTTTTCATTTGCTTTATTCACTCAAATTCACCCAAGACAAGAGCATCCTCATCCGGCCTTCTGTGCAGGTGTCGTTTTGTTTAGACCCCTCCTCTTCTCTCTCTGCTCAAGCTGTGACCTGCTTTGCCAGTATAGTACAATCACAATACACTCACTCTCACTCGCTTGCTCACTCTCTCTCAATCTCGCCGTCTCCCTTTAACAATGAAGGAGATACCTGCTGATCCCATCTGGTGGCAGGTCTCATTTAAGGGGCAAGTGACACCTGTCCCAAACTGCCCTGTTGCCCCCTTCCACACGGTGTCCTGTCTTCAGTGACACAGCTGGCACGTTCCTCTGGGAGTCACCCAGACTGGCATCAGACGAGGCCATGTGGGGGCGTCTCATGCCAGCTGTCAGCCCTTTGTAGGTAGCTGTGTGTGTGTCTGGAATGACTGACTCTTGGAGCATGTGGTTCCACAACAGCTAACATTATCTGCCACACCCACCTATACAATATTTAAATAGAGCCAGCTTGCTGTAGTGTTATGCAGACTTTATTTGCAGATTGCTCAGAATGACATGTTTGCAATTCTGGCACACCTTGAGAGATTTGAGAGCAGTGATTGTACTGCTCCTGGATTGCAGGCTTCGCCCCCTGCTGGATGTTCACGCTAGAGATCATCAGTGTTGCTGGAGCTTCTCAGGTCTATTAGACATTGATCTTGTTGTTGGATATGAGTCATTAGATCCAATAAGCACCACTTACTGAGTTAACATTGTAATTACTGCTTTTAATTGCTCTTTGTCTGCTTGTCTGATAGCTTGTTGGTCTAAAGTTTAGTTTTCTTTTAAACACTGGCCCAAATGTTAGGTTTTCACTTTTGTGAACATTTTTAACATGAAGGACACCAGGAAATGACTGGCTGTTGATAGGATTTGTATTCTAATCCTTATAGAGTCCTCTCCTCACTATTTTCTCTCTGTTCCTGCGAGTCAGTGACATAATGTAATACACAGACATTTAAAGAGTTTACATTGCTGTCATGCAGTAACCCAGGTCACTTAGTATTATATTGGCAGATGTGCTGTAGTTGTATTATCTAGCTGAAACAATAAGTTGATTTATCAAGTCGATGCTCAACAGAAAAATAAATCTGCAGCTGTTTGTTTTTTTTATCAATTAATTGTCATAAATGATGATAATACTCTGGCTGCATCTTCTCCAATATAAGGATTTGCTGCTTTTCTTTGTTTTAAATCATTTGAAAAACTGAATATATTTGGGTTTTGGACTGTTGGTCGGACAAGTCACCGTGTGCTCTGGGAAATTGCAGTGGGCGTTTTTCACTATTTTCACATGTATTTAATCAAGAAAACAATTGTCATATCGCTAGACAATGAAAATCATTTCTTTTTGTGGCCCTACTGTCATCATTAGTGCCACATGACATTATTAATGACAATGCTTGCTTTTTCTCACTATCATGCAGTTTCTCAGTTACCCTAGAAACACAACAGTCACATTGTTGTGACTCTTGTTGCCTTTGGTGTGCTCTATTGTGTGAATAGTTCCTCATAGATCCCATATTGACAGGACAAAACAAATGGGCCAGGTCTCACTCTTTGTGACTACACAAGACCGGTGACGTTCTGACTTCTTGTCCAAGTGGCTCGTGTCCCCACCTGTCTCAGGGGCCTCTGGTCCTCTAGCTCCCCCAGATACTTTGTGCCATCCCCAACACCTGTCCTCATTAGTCCATGTATATCTGCCAGTCCTCTACCCCCATCCCACTCACTATGTGCTTTATCATGGTTGGTGCTTTTTCATGACCTTTTAATCTGCTGTGTGGTGGGCTCTTTGCACTGATTGGTTTAACCTCGCAATGACTCCACTGAGTCACCTCTTCTTTCTCATTAACATGATTCAGCCCGCATCCCTCTCCTGATCTCACGTTCTTTCCTGTGAATGCATATGTTTCCATTTTCCCATGCTGCTTCTCATCCGTTCATCCGACCCCAACAGAATAATGACAATGAGACACCGCTGCACTGTGCCGCCCAGTATGGCCACTCCCAGGTGGTGCGGCTGCTGCTGGAGGAGCTGACAGACCCCACCATGAGGAACAACAAGTTTGAGACTCCACTGGACCTGGCTGCACTGTACGGCCGACTGGAGGTAGTCAAGCTGCTGCTCGTCGCCCACCCCAACCTGCTCAGCTGTAACACCAAGAAACACACTCCGCTGCATCTGGCCTCTCGGAACGGACACCTCTCTGTGGTGGAAGTGCTGCTGGACGCTGGCATGGACATCAACTATGAGGTGCGTTTTTATCAATATGTGCATGTGTGTGAACTTAAAAGCTTCAGTTTTCAAGTGTTTCTTAATATACTGTCATGGGCCCAAATCATGTTGGGTAACATAATCTGTTCTTGCAGCACTTCCTCTCGCTACTTCCTACTAAAGAGATTAAATGTAAAACTCTTAAGCTCTCAGTTTGCAAAAGAACTGCTGTGGTATCAAAGCTGTCCTTGCTCCCCCTGGTGGGCCCTGTGGCTCTGACTCTGTACCAAACTGTGCCATCCATCTGTCTGAAGATACTTTTCCCTTCAGTCCTTGCATCCTGCAGGTTTCAATTAGCATGGCCCTTTGAGCTGGAAAATGACCCGGCTTGAGTCCTCAACTGCATAATTGTCAGTAAAGAAATGGACCGGATGGTGGGCATAAATCCGGAAGTTGCCATACACTGTTTATCTTACTAAAATGTGGGTGCAAGAACAGGTGCTGCAGGCTTATTCATCTGGCAGTAGTATAATAATAGAAGGAAGCAAACATGAGCTTTGATTTTTATAGGAATTACATTTGTGTCATTTAGGGGTGTTTGTCCTTTTTCTCAATACTTCTGGTTTCTTTTTCTGCTCAGACGGAAAAAGGCAGTGCCCTCCATGAAGCAGCGTTGTTTGGGAAGACAGATGTGGTACAGAAACTTCTCAGTGCAGGTCAGACTTCAGTGCCACGCAAGGACCATTTGAATCACTTGCTGCTGTTTGCAAAAATCCACACACAACACTTGACTGTTGCCTGTACCAACTGTCCCTGTCGTCATTCGCCAGGTATCGACGTGAACATCGTTGACCAGAAGGGCCTGACAGCGCTGGACACTGTCAAGGACATGCCCTCCCAGAAGAGCAGAGCAATAGCTGCTCTCATCCTAGGTGAAGACCAAACATGAAAACCTGAGAACTGTGGTGGCAAATGTCCCTCTTGATTTCACATTTACCAGCTGTGATACAATCTCTTGTTTGTCTGTTGCAGGTCACATGACTGGAAAACCCCCTGACATTGACCTCCCCCCACCACCAATCCCTCCGCCCCAGGAGAGTCCCAGCCCGCGGAAAAAGGGTAAGATTAACCAGATGTTTGAAAAGTTGGGTGTTTGAACTGTTGTAGCAGTGATTCAGTCAGCCGTTTAAACAGGAAACTCAGAGCAAGAAAATGCAACAGAGGGTTATCTTTAAATTTGTTTAGCGTACTTTTGTAAATTCTGACCTGTGTTATAGGTGATCTGGAGAAGGTGAGTGAGTTGATCTCGGGGCTGGCCCCGGGGCCTGAGGAAGAGAGCCCATACGAGGCTCTGTTTGAAGCCACCTCATGCCACTCTCTGGACAGCCTCGCCAGCGGCAAGTCCTCTGACAGGGACTCTGGTCGGCCAGATAGTGAAGCAGGAAAGGTCAGCAGTAGTTGAGCTGGATCCCACCCTCACACACAAACATACACACATGCATGTAGGCAAAATCATAAGCTTGTCATAGGGTTTTATAGGAGATAAAAGGCAGAACTCCCACTAGAGGGTGATAGTGGTCTTCTATCCACATGACTGGGCCTCAAACCCCTCCACAATTACACTTCTTGTGGTACAGAGTGGGTATGCAATGCGTGACTTGGCTTGTTTCTTGCAATGGACTAATAATAGATTGATTAGCAACTGTATGTTTATTATATTATTTCTGTTCATTTACAGAAAGATCGCCTGGTCCACTCATCACATCCTGGCCCTGGTCATGACGAAGAGGTGAGGTCAAAGGTGACAAGCTAAGATCATAAAGAGAGACATGTTGCCATTTTCACTACATATTCTCACATGTACTGTTTAGTAGCATGGTATAGTTACGAGTCATCGCAGGATGGTCATGGCTGCTGGACTGCCCTTAAAAGTTACTTCTTCTGAAAGGTTTGTTAACACAGTGTCGCAGGGGCTGTTGGATAATGAATCTGCCACTGAAAAAGCCAGTGCTTTGTAGCCTCAACCTCTGTCATGACTGTTTTCTTCACAACTGGTGCTCAAATCAAACGACTTCTTGATAAATATTCATCTGAGTGCGGCATGGGGTATAGGCAGCGGGGGAGTAAAATGAGGAATGTGAAGTGGAAAAGGAGACAACATCAGAGAACCTGTCTGGCCTTAACTGTGGATGACAACAGAGGATGCATTGTTGAACATTAAGGACATTTTATTTTATACAAGTGTTACATTTTATTCCCCGAAGGAGATATTTGGATCCTAAAATATAACCAGCTTTAGTGAATGTTTAATAGCAAGTCATTCCAAGTCGTCTGTGCATTAAATTGTCTTTCTCTCTACTTTCTCGTTGCCCCACTCTCTTTGTTCCTTTTTTTCTGCAGGCCCTGTATACTAATAGCAGTATTGACGAGAGAGGCAAGCCGGTGGAGGAGGAAGAGGATCACACATATGAGTTGTTGCTGACTGCACAGACCAAAGTCCCACCGCCTAGCCAGGAGTCTCGGTCCAATAAAGGTAATTGCCTGCTTTAAGTATAATCGAGAGGGAGGAAGTAATTATATGAAAAATTTCTTTGTTTACATGCTTTGCGTATCAGTGACCCCTCATTCCCAGCAGGATTTTAGGAGAGCTGGTGAAGAGCTGGGTTCATTTTCCAAAATACTTCTTCTACTCCACTGATGCTGTCTGAGCACAACAAACTCTGAATACATTCCTAACCAGCAAGAGAGCCTTCAAACACATGGTCAACCCCTTGTCACGACTGTGTGTGCCATACATGAGCAGACCCTCTTTAGATGTGGCTGATGAATGGCACTGCATGTAATTGGATTAAATGGGATTAAATTAGGAGGCCATTTGAATCCCTAGCTGTTGATGTAGATGTTTTAAAACCAACCCCCTTGAGCATTCCAGCTTAGTCAGCTTCACTGGCACCATTAGAAAACGTCACTGAGCTGAAGGGTTGGAGTATAATCGCTGATGTCATCATGCCTCCCCCATGCGGATAAATGATGGTGTTAGAAAAAAAGGGACTTTTTACTGTTGCCTCCTCCACTCTTGAGCTTGGACAGAAATGTTAAAAAGCAATCCCTTTTCCATCTGTTTTATCACGTCTGCTTATCCAGCGCTGTTTAAATGACAGGGAGATTAATCTGAAGTCTGTCTGACTTGTAGCCCGATATGTCTGCATGCATAATACATGGTTTTATTATACATCACTTTCACTCTTTCTCTCAGCACAATGTCTGTCCTGACAGTTAGAACTGGCAATACGTTGTCTGAAAAACTGAAGATATGTTGAGTAATTGAACTCTGGATGGACCAAGATCATTTTTCATCTGCTCAAACTATGTCCTAACTCCTATGTCTTCTGTCTCCTTAGTCGAGAACACCACTATTCAGTCTTCCAACAGTGTCCTACCTCAGGTAAATTCTTCTATTTTCCTTCTTCTCATATTTACATCCTTAACTCCTACATCACATCAAACAATAGGCTTAAGTTTGGCAATAATTTTGTCTTATTTTTTTATGCCTGCCCCTTGCCAAATTCTTTCATTAAACCTCTTTGTTTACGTTGTTGTACAAAACCCATATGGATGGAGTTTTGACAGTCAGAGAACAGTGTCCCCCTGCAGTTCGAATTGCATATCTGGAGCATGACCATATGACCATAGCAGGTTATATAATGAAGATGAAAGTCTCATCACAGTCAGAGATTGAGTCACCTTAAACTGGCCCTCATAACCGGGTGTCTGTGTAAACCTGCCTCTTCTATTTATTGTCCCACCATATGTTATTTTATTGCCCTTTTCAATTTATCATCCAGTTAGCAGCTTTTATTATTGCTGCCACACACCTACAACCCCACCTGCTACCTACAATATCTGCTCGCATCTTTTATTCCAAGCTCCTATTGGATTAGCTGTGCTCCTCAGCTGCCTAATCATAATAAATGAGCAGCATGCCATCCTCTCTACTCTAATCTAGAGCTTTGCAAGCCTAGCCACAGCACGGCTAATGTAGGAAAACCTGCCACCAGTACTGCCATGCATGAAATCAATCGGATACCGTCTTCGTTTCTTGTTAAGCTAGCCGAATGATTAGCCTGGGTTATTCATTTGTTAACTGCAATGCTAATGCTAATGTGATTATCTTGCAACACAGGTAGGGGTTTGGGAGGTATGTTTTAAATGGCAGGTGTAAGTAAACTCTCAATTTTTTTCTCTTCTGTCCCGCTTCAGCGTAAACCCTCTACCCCAAACGACCTCAGAGCCCCAAGCAAGACGAGAGACTCCCTGCAACCTCCTGGCCGGGTGGGCCCTCGGGCACCTGGAGGTGAGTTTGACCACTGTCCTCAAATTTTAGTAACCTAATAAGGAACAGCAACTGCTGCTGGCAAAGCTTGGAGTGTAAGAAGAGCTGGACTGGACACGTCAGAGTTGCAAAAAGACAAGCCAAGCATGTCAATGAAATGGGAAAAATGCATTTGAGTTTGCAGGGTGAAATGGGCTGGCTTGGATTAGCGCTGCCAGGAAATGCATGACTGGCATTCTCGAGCAGCAGAGCGGATTTGGCTCGTCAGAAGCTGGCTGATTGACATTCCCTGGCAAGTGGGCAAGACTCGTTTCAATTCCAATATGAAACAGAATTCTTGATCAGATTACGACATTCCTATCTCAAGGTTCGCATCCCGCTTTAAAGCTGTAAATGCCACGTCTTCCAGTTTAGAAGGGAGCGGAGGTAAGGAGCATGGCCTCTGGGTCTTTTGCTGACTCGCATGCAGATATCTTTTATTGAATAATTATTTTGTAGCATGTTTGCAAACGGAACTGCAGGAAGAAGCATGGTAGGCAAGCTGAATTGATAATGCTGTTTTCAGGAGGGAGTGATTATTTTATCATAGTTTTGAAGTGCTTGTTTAATGTTTTAGGTACTGTAGAAATAGTTTGATGCTTTTTTGTCTCAAAAAATGTATAACAACATCAGTATACCAGGTCCTTAACCTTCTTGATTTTAGTGCTTCTTGAAATTATCTGATGATGGTAGTTAAAACCAATAGGACACATTTCAGTTTGTTTGCATTCAGTCTTGGTACAGTGTCATTGCACCTTTCACGTGTGTGTATATAGCCCTTTTTTAATGTTTTTACATTTTAGCTACTGATCTGTGGACACATTGTTTTACAAGCAGGAGGTGACATCTAATCTTAGTTCATAATCAAATGTATCTTGACATCTTGATGTAAACATTGGATGTGTGCAAATGACCATCAGATCATTCACCCTAGTGAGTTTAAACATTAAAACTGATGTTGAACGTCTGACAAAAGCTGTTTTGTTTTGCCACAGGATTTAAGAATAATTGAGTCAGTTTAGGGCACGGAGGGGCTTTCATTTCCTTCTTCGCATATTGTCCTTAAGTGACTCTCAAGTTATATTCTCCTCTCCCTCTTTTAAAGCCACAAAAACCACAAGTTTGGTTCATATGCGAGTACCACTTTGTGATGATTTTTCTCTTTTTGGTTTCTGTTTGCACGTCATTAGCAAGTTCTGTGGTCTTACATAAAACCAGACAGCTGGCTGAGCCTAAATGTTAGTTTTGCTCGTGTAAATATGATTTTCATTTTGATTGAGGATCTGAGATCCGATTTCTTCCCCCTGTGTGGACAGAGTGGGACCAGACCTCAGCGTTCTGTGGCAGGTGGAGGAGATATATCCACGGTCAGCGATACGAGCGTGTGTTTATCATCTGTCACAAACACATTGCTGTTCTCAGCAGGAATATAGTGTTTCCCAACAGATTTCCACCTCTGTGTTGTGTTTTATAGTGTTTCCAAAGGATTTTTCTCACGAGTCCAAAGCTTTGATTGGTTGCTTTAGAAATGTATAGTTGAACTACAGTGAAATTGACTCCAAATTGTCAGAACCGTTGCTTTAACCAGATGTATCAGTTTAGGTGCCGTAGTTTGCTTGTTTGTTAGTGGTTGTAATTATTAGTTTTACTCATGTACTTGCTAACATGGCTTTTACATAATCATCATGTGTATGCTGTTGAACATGATAACAGGGACTGTTTTTCTTATTGAACTGCACTGTCAATAGAGGTATTTGTTTACTTGTTTCACTGTAAATGTCCAAATATGAATAAGATGGCCTTTAGTTTGTTATTATTGACTTTCTGCAGTACATGACCCAGAGTTAAATGTAATTGAAACTACAATAAATAAAAACAGCAGAGTTTCCAGTGCATGAACTGACTTTGGACTACGTAGATGGTGGAGGAGTGACGGCCAGCGCCGGCACTGCAGCAGTGTCTGCAAAACAATCATGACATCATTAGAAAGCTATGGAGCTGTCGTTGCCAACTGAAATACACATCCCACCTGTGTGGTGACCTCACCCATCTATAAGAGCAGCAATAACATCAGATTTGTGTCTGCGCACATTTTCTACTGTAGAACTGTGCGAGCATGGGGTGCAGTGGTCTCGGCAAGGGTTAACACCACTGATGTGCTCATTGGGCGTTCACGCTTCCTAGCTGCTAAGGAGAGGGTGGGTGTTTGGCTGTGGCCCTGACATATGTGCAGAATACACTCACTCACCCCTCATTACACACACAAACACCCACACACACTTTTCCTTGATTTTCAAGTGTTTAGGAACTTATGAAAAATGAGTTTAGGGCGTTGTTTGGCGCATTCCCTCTCTACAAATGGTCCCTGAAACAGTAATGGGGCAGCTTTGTGAAGTTGGAGTGAGTTTGCGTGTCAAGCAGTTGAGTGGTACACTTCCTCCTACCCCATGTTCTGTAGATATGACTCCTTGACAGCCAGCTGTTTTTGATGTTTTCAGTCTTTGAACAGTAGGTTGTGAAATAGCCGAGCAAGCCACACAAGGGCAGCAGAACATCGGCTAAAACTCTTCTGTGAAGGGCAAACAAAGTGCTGCAACAGGTTGCTACTTTTTCCTGTGGTGTCACTGCCCCAGATTCCCTGTCACCAAACACCCTGACCCTGTCACCCAAGCAGAGACAGTCCACACACACACACACACACACACACTCCTTCACCATGTGTCACATGGCTAATTATCAGGAGTCTCGCTGCTGGAGGATAGGGCGATTCAAATTTCCATTCCTGAGCCACCATTAGGGTCTCGAATTAGAAGCCAGGAAACACTGGTCACACTGCAGACAACAACACGCACCTCTACAGTGCAAAAGGGTTGATTTTTATTTTTTTTTAAAACCACTGCGTAGATGACTACGGACACTGTCGTCCCGTGGCTGATTTGATTGTGGAAAAGAGGCTTACGTGGCAGTTAATTCCTCAGAAAGAGGGAGGAGGAAAATCTAATTGTTTTTAATTGTTTGTGCCGTTCAGTCTCATTACGTATTTGTTTTCTTTGGAGGAGGCAGCTGAAGTTTCACTCCTTGGTGATTTTTCAGTCATCTTGTTCATTTTCTGCTGTTTACTCTGTTTTGTTTGTTATGTCCTGTGGTTGGCTGTGAGAGTGTTTGCATGAAGGTTTAGTCAGTAGCCTGTGGGAAATCTTAGTCTTGTGTCATTTTGGGGAATATGGACCTAACAGACAAGTAGGCCTGTGACGTGAGGCAGTCAGGCCCCAGCGGATAGTTGTCAGACGGCTGCAAGCTGGGTTTGGAATTCTGTTATTTCTCCAGCCAACATACGCCTTCTCCTTGCTCCTTCTCTCCCTCTTTTTCTCTCCGTCACTCCCGGTAGGAAACAATTACAGATCTGTTTCTGGGCTTGTGTGGGCGGTTTCTTATTAGTCCTGCTCTAAGGATCTGCACTTCCAGTTAGACGTCCACTTTCCAGCACTCACAAAATACTCTTTGTCACTGACTTTGCTCATTCCTCTTCTCTTTCTCTAGATAACTCGCAGATCAGCCAGGATCAGGGAGCAGGTGTGCCGGAGCAGTTCACTGGCCTTTTGCACGGATCCTCCCCTGTCTTCGACTGCCGTGAGGAGCCCTTCAAACTTCCGGGTGTTCAGCCATCCAGCCAGGGCCAACCAGACCCAAGAAAAATTCCCAAAGTAAAAGCGGAAGTAGCAGCACCTTCACCACCACCTGCACCTGCACCGCCACCTAGCCGTCCCAGTATGGCTGCCATCCTGACAGACTGTGATCCAAAAGCAATTTATGCAACTGTGAACAAGGAGCCCAGAGACTCAGGGGCTGGGGCAGTGTCTGCCGTTAGGATGCGCCCTCCTGGGGACCTGAAGCTGGCACGCAGCCTCTCAAAGTCTGACTCTGACTTGCTCGTGTCGCCTCCTAGTGAGGAGGAAGGAGGACTGGGAAACCGTAGCGAGTCTGTTTCTAACTGTAGCACTGACAAGAAGAGGCTTGAGAAATCTCCCTCTTTCACCTCAGAATGGGACGAGGTAAGTGTTTGGTCTCTACCCTGTTTGGGAAATAACTGTGAAAGATTTTTAAAGGTTTAAATGCAACAGTTTCTTCAACAATCTAACTACAAAATGTTTCATCAGAATATAGATAAAGCTTTTCCAAAAAAAATAAAAAATACTTGACACCAGGTAGGGACCTAAAAACACATGTAAAAATATATTGAAACAGAAATTAGTGAGAGTGTTGTTTACTAAAAACTGTTCATGAAAAGCCATAAGAAGCAAACCATTTGCATCATGTGGAAAGCATGCATTATGATGCCCTGCTAATATAATACACCAATTCATGGACACAGATTGTTCCCACGTGAAAATCTCTTATTTCAAGAGAGGATTTTTGAGCATGAATCCATATGTATGTAAGTTGTATGAGCATATTGTCCATGATTCCTCTGGTGCGCAGTATGTCCTTTATTTTTACAAAGCCCCACTTGTTAGGCCTAGCTTGTGCTTGCGCTGCAGCCGCAAGACATTTGTCCACAACTACAAAATGAAAGATTGAATGAAAACCTCAGTATCAGCTGTAAACAACTCTGTTCTCGTTCTGTCAACTCAAAGCCACCTGTTGTCTTGAGGGAGACTCTTTGCAACGCAAAACACATACCTTCAGCAAACACAACGACTTTGATGTGAAAAAGTGTTTGTACATGTAAATAGTGAAATTATTTAGATTAGTACAATTCCAAATTCTTGAGAAATGTATTTTTGCTACACATGCCGTATGAAAAACGGTCTGCAAATTCCGTATTGACACTTTAACTTGGCCTTGAAATTGGTGGAATTTTATTTTCCCAATCCTGCCTTGTGTTTGTTATCACCGTGGATATTCATAACTAAATATATCCTTCCATTCGGCACTTTAATGCTTTGTCTGGGACGTAGATAAGGAGCTGAGTCGAGCCACAGAGAGGAGAGATTAGAGGAGACTAGAAGGATGGGGATAAAACAGCTGAGAAGCTGAAGAGAGTAAGACAAGAGACGGAGATTTGGAAATTGAGATTCAGAGAGAACCTACGAGCTGCAGATCTGTCTCACTTCAGCTCTTGTCTCCTTTTCTTGCAAAGGTTTCAGAAAACAACCAGAGTCTCTGCAGAGACAACCCATCACAACACACACCACTGAGCAAGTATAGGATTATTCCGGGTTTTCTTAAAACCTTTTTGATATTTTCTAGACTGTGCTGTTTGAGATACACAAGAAGCTTGCGTATCACTTGCATCACATTGTTAGGTCAGCATATTTTTTTATAACTATACTTATATCTATGAGATAGATAAAGCATATATAATAGTGAATGAGCTGAGGTAGATCCAGGCATACACGCCTGAGCATTTAACATGGTTTCCTCTTTATGCTCTTTCTCCAGTCTCCTACAACAATCCTCTTATTGTTGGCAGGCTTAATGATATCCTCAAAGCTACTCAATTAAGTGTTATCATAAGCTATACACCAGTGTCCCCTGCATTGTTAATACACTGCTCTGTTTCTATTGCTGAGATCGTGCATCTCTTTCACAACTTTTCCTATGCTGCCGTACCGCAGTGCAGCCTGGTCCATGAGAGATGATTTACACATTTCATTTATGGTGACAGATGGAGCAAATCATGAGCTCAGATAGCACCGCTAATGCTTTCTCTCCACAGCGAGGAGATCGTATTGCTGCCTGGCTTTCCTTTCCATGACCCTGTCAGAATAGCCCCAGTGAGCTGAGCTAATAGCGGCTTTGAGGTTGATATCTTGGCTGCTCTTCGCTGTGGTTTGTACGCGGGTAGTCAGTCGTCCACAGTTTTGATCACCTCCCTAACCTTTCTGGTATTAGGAGGCAGGCAGAGCAGGCCTGATTTGTGGATGTGGTTATGTATGGGAAAATTGAATTACATACAAAGAATATCCTCAAAGCTATAATAGGTTGTTGATTACTACCACTGATAAAATTATTAAACAACAGTGTTCTGAGATTTTCTTTCTAGCTTCTAGTTGTTTTTTTGCCCAGCCTGAACAACTTTCTGAATGATGTATTATTGTTGCAAATTTGTTCATTGCTGTATTATATACCTCCTTGCTAGGCCTTATTGTTAGGTCTTTTCTCTTATTAGATCATGTACTCGTCTGTACTGTGAAAGTGTGATTTTATAATTTATTTCAGTTATGTGCAGCCATAAACTATACCAGCTGTTGTGTTGACGTTCTGAGCTCACTGATAGAGGTTGATATCCGTCATACTGGCCCACAGCATAATGTCTTTGGGGGGCATTTATGCATGACAGCAAATTGCCCTGATGTTTCTTCTGTCTGGAGGTGCTTCTGTCAACACTCACGATGGAGGAGGGGCCAGTGTGCAAGGCCTTATACAGAAGCCTTATCAAAGTTCAAAACACTTTTCTGGCCTGAAGGCAAAGCACAACACCTTGGCAGCATGACTCATTAGTTCATGTGTACAGTCGCTGTAGCCTTGTCTTTGGGATTTTATAGCTGTGAGCACCACAAGGAAGGTTTACGCCTTGATCTGCTTCAGCAGTGCCAGACTTAAGCAAACATCCACAACATAACTTTACTTTATAGTTTTGTCAACGTCTGCCAAGGAGACACTCTCTGAAATTTGAAGGTAGTATTTGACTAAAGTTATTAACAAAAACTGACCTTGAGTACTTCTCTGTATGCAGTCAGTGAATTCCATGGTTAAGAACATACCTCCATGATAGTGTGCTCATTATGTTGGCTTCTCGATCCTTGAAGTTTTAGCCAATAGGAACAATTCTGTAATCCTTATGACATTCCTCAATACTGTAGTAACTGGAGCCCAGCCGATAAATTGGCTGATATTAGGTTGGTCATTGCGGATATATTAGTATGTCAGCCAAGTAAATTAAGTACAGAAACGCCAAAGATTTGTTGGAAACAGTGTCACTAGTTGTATAGTTTGTCCACCAGAGTAGTGAAAAGTTTATTTTTCACTATAAAATGCCCAGTATTTTTCATAATTACTTAAAAAAACAAATTTAAGGGAACCTTATCAAAACTATTGTTACTGTTTGGGTAAAGTACAATATTGGCCGATATATCAATATTTATCATGTATAAATAAATATGTCATAAAAATCCAATATAGGGTAGAGCAGTAACGTACTGTTTCGACTAGTCTGTGTTATGTTTGTGTATAGTACTTAGGGCTGCAACTAAGTGTTATATGTGGGCATATACTGTAGTATTTTTAATTCTACAATTAATTCTTTTAAATCATGTTTCATTAAACTGTGTTTATTTATATTGGCCTGGATGATTAATCAGTCTAGCTCTCTCATAATTGATAACAAACTCCAATCAAAATGTACCAAAACCTAAAGTGTGGTCTTTTAATATTATTTATGACCGATTTCTTATGATAAAAGATGAAAATCCTCTTGGTATTCTAGGTTTTTGCTTATGATATTATAGACACATTTTGTGTGTTTGAATCTTTTAAATTCGCCTTTCAGACTTTGTGGTCACAGGCAGGGCACTGTACAGTCTAATTACCCAGTTTAACGAACACCTCACCTCCTCAGACTGTATCTCAGGGATGTGGCCTTGGAGAGCGTGACAGGATTAAGGCAAGCATGACATTACTCGGTTATTAGAAATTGCTGCTCTTCCCCAATGCCCTCAGAATCCAGTAATAATCCTGTAGCTCTTCTGTTGTCTTCGCCTGGTGCTTTTGTACCATACGAATTGAATGGACTGGCCTTGAGAATTAATCTAGTTGTAAAATAAAAGGGCTGCAGAGGAGGATGCAAAACAGAAGGTATCGCTGTCCTCTTGCACATGCGTGCCCTCCCATGAGGCAGGAGAACAGGTTGTATTGTTGGCTTCTAACGGAAGAAGAGATCTTATCTGTGAAAAGGAGATGCACTTCAGACAATGGCCTAATTTTCTGCATGCACCATACTAGTGTGTTTTACTGATTGAACTGGCCAGATTTAAGTTCTTCTGAATGCCTGAAAGCTTATTTAAATTCCTAAAGTAGGCTGCTGGAAAAGAGCATCACAGTTCATCCTTAATTATACAATCATCCTATGGGAGTACATTTTATTTTCTCTCCAGTCTGCCTGATACAAAATTACATTTGTTTTGGGATGATACTAGGGCTGCATGATATTGTAAAAAAAAGATCATACTGCAATAATCGCGATATGATTCACAATTAGTGGGAATAATTATTCTCTGCAGCACTACAGTACTTCATTATAATGCTGTTTTGTCACTCATTTTACCTTCATTAAACAATTGCAGCTTCTGCGATTTAGATATTGCACTTTTGCGATGTCGAGAATATTTAGACTAATTGTGCAGCCCTAGATGGTACTAACAATGCATTCAACCTTTACAACGTACGATTGTACGATTCTGCTGTAGTTGTCAGTCCTGTTCCTCCCCCGAGGAGTCTACCATGAACTCTGCCTCTGATTGGTCTCATGTATGTGCAGGCTCCTTGTCATGCTGCCTGTCAGACTGTGTATAGACTGTATTTGTGCGTGAAGCAGCCTGTCAGCTCGACCAACAGATCTCACATTCATGCGTTGTCAGCTAGAATGAATTCGTAAGGTTCAAACCCTAACTGCAATATACAAAGTGTAAGCCACACTGCAGGTGGCAAGTTGCAATCATTGCTCTTAGAAAAGGTGGGGTTATCTGCATCATTTAGAATTCCCCCCCCCACATGAGATTAGGTATTTTTTTTAGATAGTAATGACTTGTTTATTAGAAGCCTTGGTTGGCAGCCTGCTAGGATTTCTGAAAGACAATTTCGGAGCCTTAGTCAATGTTAATGAACTCGGAAGCCTACTTCTTCTCACTTGAACAGTGATTCAGATGCCTGGGAGCTCTGAGATGAAAGCCAAAGGAAAGAGCCCCGGATCTTTCTTCTTCTTTTCCTTTCAGGGAATAAGCCGGCATTTGCTTTAAATGGAAATATTCACACTGCTGATTTAAAGTGCATTGCAAATGACAGAGAGGAGTGTGTGGGGAAAGCAGTTAAAGTTTGATTGGGCGTAACGTAGCCTGCACTCTCTTTAATGATGTAGGGAGTGTCCTGTGAAAACTGAAAACTCCCGTCTCTATTCGTTCTCCCTCAGCCCTCTCCTCGGCCCATATTGCTCCATCGACAGTGTTTTCTTTGCCGTGGCTCTGGAGATGCTGTGGCAGCCATCTTGCTGGTCACAACTGGCTGCTCTGGAACACTCTACTGAGCTGTGTGACAGCATTTGGGGGCAAGGGGTCCCAGGACATTACCAAACCCACCCCCTAACACATACACACACCCCTTTTTAAAAAAAACATCTTTTTCTTTTTTGAATCAAGTTTGCTAAATATTCCTGTTCTCACACTCTCATCCCTTTTCTTTCTATATCTGTCTTACTCTTTCACCCCCTCCTTGGTCTCAAGACAAGGAGATTTGACTTGCATGAGGTCTTGGCCTATGCATCTCGCCATTTAAGGAGGTGTGTGTGTGTGTGTGTGTGTGTGTGTGTGTGTGTGTGTGTGTGTGTGTGTGTGTGTGTGTGTGTGTGTGTGTGTGTGTGTGTGTGTGTGTGTGTGTGTGTGTGTGTGTGTGTGTTTTGTGCTCTACATGCAGGGTGTGTACTGGTGTGTAAAGCGCATGCTAATGCGGGTTGGTCTTGGTCCTCGGGATCAGACTGAAGATGACAATCCAGGGGGGCACATTGTGTGGGCCAGCAAACTGAGCTCCACAGATGGGAGGAGAGAGAGGGAGACAGAACTATAGACATAGACAGAGGGAGAGGGCCGCCTGCCATCCTCGGCCCCATTTCACTTCAACTTCATTTTCGATTCGCATTCCACAGATCCAGTAGCCATTATGAAACCAGCTTTTGTGAGTATTGATTTCCTTAAAGGCAGCATCTCCACTAGACTCATTAATCTCGTCTACCTGCCATGATTGAATTGAATGGGGAAAATAATTGATGCTTTCTAGTTTTTTTTTTTTTTTTGGGATATTATATTTCTTGTAAAGCCTCTTCAATAGGTGCGTTCATTGAAGCGTGTTGCTTTACTTGCTAAATATAGTACTGTAGAATAGGGGAAAGCTCAAGCCTCTCCCTCATGTTGTCCTTCTACCGTTGAGTGTGTTCTTTAAAAAGTTAATTCTCGGTGGCATTTTTAGCTCTACAGGCAATTCAGGCAGCAATTCTTTGTTCTTGTTTGCCTTCTTGTATTGCCTTGTTCATGAACTCATTGCGGATTTGCCGTACGTTTTATTTTCTGTGAGGAGAAAAGTGGCCTTGCTGTTTTTGTTACCGAGAAGTCTCATGTGTTCGACCTGCTGAGATCAAACCAATCTGTGGGTGTGTGTCACGGCCCGTTCAACCGGCAGGGGAAATCTATTCTCTAATCCCCAACAGGGGGAGAACACAGGAGAGCCACAGGGGGCTGAGACATGCAGCCACTACTTAGTGTTCTTCCGGTCTAGTCAATGAAGATTGAAGTTCTACAAAGGATTTCAACCCTATGTCAACTTGTTGGAAGATATATATTTATATATCTATGCCCTTTAGGGATGAGTTAGCAAAGTTTTGAAGTTGTGTGGACGGGACATTGTTCCTGGAAACACAAGCATGACATTGGGCTATTTCAGGAGTATGTTGATGGGACTGCTGACAGTGCTTTGTCCCACTGTGGCATTGAGGTGTTGGCACCTGCTTTAGACGGTGGTGTGCTTGTGTTCCCCTTGATGCCATTCACTAGTCCATAGTTTTCATCCAAGCCTCATTTTGGTGCCAGCTTGCCAATTTGAGGCCGGTGGTCTGGGCACACTTACTCTACAGAAACTTTTTGTTTCACCCTGAATAAGCTCTGCCGGGTGTCCTTTAGCTCCCCCCCCTCCCCCCTCCCCCCTCTGAGCTTTAGTTGCATGTTGTTTGAGATTCAAGGCTGATAACGAAAAAACACTTTATGTTTTCAAATCACAGTAAAATAGCTGTTATTCTGCTCAGTCATCCTAGATCAACAGTCCTGCTGTGAGAGGCATGATAAATGGGTTTATGTGTATTTAATCTTATCCTGACCATCTCTCATCACTGCTAGCTCTTCAGCTGTTGACCTCTACCTCCCTGCTGACTTCTGACCCCGTTAATTGTATCTCCTCGCTCATAGAAAGTCCCTCTCACAATAGACGCCTCTCCATTTCAGGTCTTTGTATTGATTCGATCCTGTTGCACAAAAACACATTCCTGCCTCTCTCCTCTATTAAATCTCATGGTACCAAGCTTCTTAGTCTTTTTCTTGTTGTGGAGTTTTACTCTAAGGAAATCACCGTGCCGTGTCCCTTGATAAGGATATATTTACCTAGCTCCAACACTATATCACACCTGCCCTTCACGGTAGTTGCTTCAAAATCTCAGTGGACCAGCTAGTATTCCCTGGTCCATTATACTGGACAAGTGAAGCTGATACACCAAGACTGAGTGCAGCTGTGCATCCACAAGCATACTGCATTGTGTTTAACATGAAAAGGCTTAACCTTACCTGCAGTATTAGTTTGTTTGAAAATGCAAATCAGTCATTTTAATTTCTTTCTTATTCACTGCAGCTTGAGGCATTCAGAAAGGTACCCTGAAGTGGTAGCAGTTGCCACAATTGGGGGGGGGGGGATATTGGACCCCTGATGAATGCCAGTGTTGATCAGCAGCTTTCTGATGCTGTTGTCCTGCTGAGGCCTAATAATTTAGGTTACTATAAGGCCAACTTAAACGTGACACGTTGAGACCATGTAATGAATTCAAAACAGAGAAAAGGCATATCTAACTGAACACACACCTTTTACATCCTATTATTTATGCTCTTTATATTATTAGCAGTGAATTGACTATAATCCATATTTTAATAATAACAAAACCAAATTATCTTGTAAACAGTGTGACCATGTGAAAGGGCTTGCTCTGGTGATGAACCTACAGAGAATTATTATTTTGAATCTGCAGCTGCCCCCAGCTTTACGGAGCTTTACAAGTTTCAGCTCATTGTTTAGCTGTCCGGTCCGCCACTTTACTGTTTTGGTTCACTCTCACCGCTCTCGTTGTCAACAGCAGCATGCAGCTGTTTACAGTAAAAAAGCCAGACAGACACAGTTAGCGACTAGCTGGTGAACAGAGTGGAGTATTTTGCAGCTAAAGAGCCAGATATTTCCCACAGGAGTTGGTAGAAACCAAAAACAGAGCTAAAAGGAGAATATTTGACGTACATACATCAGGTGACTGACAAACACGACTCCAAATAAATGCTTATGTTGCTCTGTAACTGATGAATGTGTAAATAAGCAACTGTTTGCTAACAGTTATAAATGAGCTAAAAAGGTGATAATGTTTCAATGTTATGTTCACACGCAGCAAAAAAATCTGTTATTGCAGGTTTAAAGGAATAGTTAAACATTTTGGGGAATGTTCTTTTGTCTTATTTGTTGAGAATTTGATGAGAAGATCAATACCACTCATGTCTGTACAATAAATTTGAACCTACAGCTTGCAGACAGCCTGGCTTACTGTTAGAAACAGAAGGAAACAGCTAGCCTGGCTCTGTCCCCCTTTTAAAGCTCACATTGACGTGTTTTATTTTGGTTGTATTGATCTGAACTTTATTTAAGTGACTTCAGAGGGTGCTGGTAGGCACATGTTTTTACCTTTAGACACAGTGTTAAGCTAAGCTAACCAGCTGCTAGTGGTAGCTCCGTATTTACCAAACAGACATGAGAGTGGAATCAATCTTCTCATTTATCTCTGCAATAACGCCAAAAAGTATTCCCTAAAATGTCCTTTAATGTGGGGAGGGTGAAAAAAACAAAAGCTGGTGACCTCTTATACCCACTCCCAAATAAGGACACCACCCACTCAGTGTCACCCATTGTTCCCCAAATGGTAACGCCCAGCCTCCCCTGTCCCCCAGCTGTTTATCCTACATCTGCCTGGTTATAGTACGATGAGAGTACAAGTCTGGAAAAACTCATGGTACAACATAATACAACATCCCATGTGCTTATGTTATGCGTGATTATCTGCATCTGCAAGAGGAAATGCTATTTTCCGTTGACCACTACCTCAAAAGTATGTGGTGAATATTTTGACTGACTCGTGCAATGTCGCTCTCATACAAACAGTAGCCACCTACTTTTGCTGAATCATCTGGGTCTTTGCTCAGGTAAGAGCAATGCTGGCTGATGTTGTGGGTAAGTGGTGCGGATAGATGGAGGTTATTTGTCGAGCTTGTGTGACTAATCTACCATCTGGTCAATATGCAGGACTCTAATCAAACAGTCTGAAGAAGTAACATTGGGCAGACGGATAACTGAAATAATGTGATCCTCCCACTGCCCTTTATCTCACACCGCTCGTTTCCTCCTTTCCCTCCTAGAAATTAGGCGTTTTTTCTATCGGGAGCTGAGGATTAATGCTGAAGATGAAAATAACAGAGAAGGCAGCATATAGGAGGTGTTTTGTACTACATGCTTCAGCGCAGTGCGAGTGTGATCTTCAGTTTCCCTGATGGCTGACTGATTCTTCATCTTCTTCCTGATTTAATCATTACAAACATTGTTTATGCACCAGACATGTACAGTCTTCCATTTGAAATTGTGTTTCAATTACATTTAGTTTAATGTTTTCTGCACCAAATGTGTAGTGTATCTTTTGTATAAAACAGGATGATTACATCCCCCTTGCCAGAAAATAGCTGGTACAGTGTAGGTAGGTGTACAGATGGAAGTCAAAACAAAAACCTGAATTTTCTCTTAGCAGAAACTGACGACTTCTTCCACCACAAAACAACGAAGATCTAATTCCTGCGTAAGACGTCCACTTTCATATAAATATCTCCTTGTCCTTTTTGGGGTTTGGTTCTGTCATCCTCTGGGTCGTTCTTTGTAGAGGTAGATGGGATCCTTTCAGGTTTCATGAACCCTTTTGGAATGATATAATCACAGTGATTATTCATTTCTTCTTCTAAGCAAGTCTAGAAGCTTTGATTTACTATTAACTATCTAGCCCGACAGTAGCAAATTTAACTAGATAAATCATTCTTCATATTTTGGTTTCTGTCTCTGCTCCTCTGACTGGCATTTCTCTTCCAATTACATAACATTTCACTGCTAAACATCCACATACAGATTGATGATGAGAATCTAACAAACGGCTGATGGCACTTTATTGCCTCATATTATTATACTAATGGGCCCATATAACCTGTCTGGGGGCTTTCAGAGCAGCAGCCAGGACTTTACTCTCTAGCCAGTGGCAAAACAATTGCTTTCAGATAAAATATTTCCAAAAGGGCAAAATAAAGATAGCTGGAGTGACAGTACTTTGCAGTGTGACGGCAGCACTGTCAGCCTCTAGCTTTTCATTTTCTGCCCTCCTAATGTCAGTGCATACTTTGAATTGGTTGAAAGTGCAAGCTGTGTTTCTCTGCTGTGATATATGTGTATATATGTATAATATTGCAGCTCATTTGCCCACTGATGCTTCAGTGCAATCATGAATGCATATGAAGGAAATTCCAGTATTCTTATTGTGTGTTTTCACATTTATATGACGCGGATATCAGTGCCTATGCTTGGCAACAACAGCCTAGTAATATTCCCAAGCATTCTAGGAAGATAAATGAAACATATGCAGGAAAACTGCAGGAAATCTGGGCTTTTTTCGGTTATAGCTCTTTCTTCCCAGGATCTCTGTGCTTTGTATTATGAGTTGCCTTGAAACAAAATTAATTGTTATTGGAGCAAACATTATGACACAGATAGTTTAACTTAACTAGAAGTTATTTTCCCTTTATAAATATATGAAAAGCACCAATCATCTAACATTGTTTTTGTGTCTTTTGCTCTTAGCTTGGTTGCCCGTGACAAAACGTTTTCTTTGTGATCATTTATATCAGATTGTGAGACAGGGATGTCTGTTTAAATCTGCTACCTGCAGTCAAGAGCCAATAGAAATGACTGTAATGCTGTGGCCATAAATGAGATGTAAAGATAATCAACCATGGCACAGTTGCTACAATGCCCTTCAATAAAAATTTGTGTCCACCTAAAACCCCTAACTGTTCTCTCGGTAAAGGTGCCCATGATGCTGTTTTGCATTTGCAGGGTGACTGTAACGTTTGATGGTGTATTGTTTAAGGCATGGGGGCATTTCTCTGTATTTTTGCTGGTGAAAGGTGGAGGCTAAACTACGATGGCTCCTCCAGGATCTTACCTCTCTCTTCTGTTCCTGTCCACAGATCGAGAAGATCATGACACTGATTGGTGCTGGCATTGATTTTTCCCGAGATCAGCAATATGCTACACCAGGTAGAGTATGCTAATTTTTGCCCATTGCATGCTGGGAATAATTGTGTTATTCATGTTAGCCGCACCTAGAATCTAAGTGTGTTATTTCAAATTCAAAAATGAATTATCGATGAAAGCTGAACGTTTGAAGGAGTGGCCATTTTTCTTTAGCTCTCAGTGCTGATTTTTATCTGTTTTTAGTCACCTCTGTAATAAATTTCACCACTATTGTATTATTAATCTCTTGTGAATCTTACTGCGAACGCTGCAAGTTTAAATGTAAAAACATTTTTTGGCTGTAGTCAGAGATTTCAGTGGGCAGATTTACAATGTATTTTCGTTGCCTGCATTTCCTCAAAACATGTGCTATGCACCCATGTTTTGTACTTTACCCCATATGTGCTTGGATTTGCTTTGCAATCATCCTCCAAGTTATTTGATCTGTATCAGTGCCCTCAGGGGAAATCTAACAGGTGCTTTGGAGGAGACATGGTCAATGAAGGATGCACCCGAAAACAAATTGCGATTCAGTTAACAATAGAGAATTGGGTACAAAAGTACAATGCAGGTAGACAGTTGGTCTGTTTAAATAGAGCAGATGAGGAGAGGAATGGACAATAGCAGCTACAGAGAATGATAAGTTACCACTTCTGAATAGTTTTTCTCATTCTGTGTGTTTAGAGAATGAGAGAATTTGGCTTGTCCTTATTTCAAGGCAGTGGTTGCTCTTGTATGTGAACACAAACCAGCTTGCTTTTAAGCCAAAAGCAGCCAGGACAGGACAAGTTGTGATCTCTAAATCTAACTTGGAAGGTACGAGGTGTATTTTTATTTTAAAGACCAAAGTGCCTGAGAGAAACGTTTTTAGATCTGGCTTTTCACTCTGTAATGTCATGTCTGTGTAAAGGATTCTGTACCTGCCCTGCTGTTATTCTTTAGGCTTTTCAAAAGCCTGTCTTCAGGGTTGATGGATGGTGCCCAGGGACTGTAACAGTAAACCCGAACAATCGACTCCTTCCCTTTGGCTTTCACATTATTCAACATTCACCTCCAGTTTACACTTTGCCTAACACATTTTAATATATTCAAGCAATGCAGCCTTGGCACAAAGTTGTCGGTCTTCTTATTTTACCCCTCTTGTTTGTTATGCCCCCGCACTAGAATGAGTTGTTTAAATATTAACCAGCATGCATGTCAGGGGATGAGCTCATTTTGCTTTGTGGACTTGAGGGAAGCTGAGACCACTGGAGTAAGTAGTTAGCGCCCCATCACTGCCACTGTCTCTCTGCTATGAACATGCAAAGTCTGAATCCACTCCTCTGTGTATGTGAGCCTCAGTCTTATAGCCGCCATGCCCACAACTCCGTTTCAATGAAGCTGCTGTCAGACGGCCATCAAGGGACTCGCTGGAGATGTGAGAAGCCGCCTCACTTTTTCCCCCTCTCTGATTGAGTCTAGTGTTTGCTGCCTTTCAGTGTTGGACTGGAGAGCAGGGATGTCTCTGATTGACTCTGTCCCTGTAGTCTCTTGTACTTTTCTCCCCCTCTACTGATTGACTTCTACATCAGATGGAGAGAGATGGCGGAGGAAGCCGAACGAGTGTGAGGCAAGAAAAGGCTGAACACAGAAGCTGCAGAAACTCAAGAGCACATGCAAGTAATGAGGGGTGGGAGGTCTGTAGCTGAAGCGGTAGCTCGCGCTGACAAAGAGCAGCCACCTGCAGTGTTTCGGAGAGAGGGAGGAGTGGAGTAAAGCTTGCAATGTGCTGGGAGCGAGAGAGAGAGGGAGAGAGACAGTGAGTAAGGGAGGAGAGAGGAACTGCAGGCATCAGAACTGTGAACAGCCAGGACAATAGAAGGACGCCACCTCTGCATCTGTAGGATTAGGTGGTCTGAGAGGACTACAGAGGCTTTTTGTAGAAGTGACTGCCGCTGGACTGAGGAGAGACCGTTTTAGGGCTCTGTTGTCTGCATAGGAGTTCATTCTGGGGGGGCAGCTATTACTAAAGTGCTCTTTGAAGTAGCTGATTGGATCCTTGACTGGATTTTTTATTTTTTTCTTGACACATTTCCAAGCTTCTGGAGGGACCAAAATGGGATTTATGACGTGGGAATCTCCTCTAAAGCAGGACTGGTTTTGCACCAGTTTGAATAGATGAAGGGAGCAATGAGAAAGGGGGAAAAATAAGCTTTAAAATGTGCATTTTACATGTTTTGATATTGGTTTGTTGTTGTTAGTTGTCAGTTTTCTTTATGCACAAGGTAAAACAGATCTAGGTGATATGTTACTCTTTCCTATGAGCATAAAAACTTTTAACTGTAGTTAAGATGCAGATATAAAATTACGAGTAAAAGTAACTACACCAAATTTAAGTGTCTAGTAACTGATTCCCACTTTAGAAAATATGTTTTTTTTTGCTTTGAAAGTGAGTGAAAACATGCCAGTAATGTGTTCACACGAGTAGAGGAAGGCATCTGTCCTTGCATAGGTTAGTCTCCTCTCGGCTCAGGCTGCTGACAGCCGTCACTGTTCAGCTTCTTTTCTCAATCAATCTCAACTCACGACAGTTGTGTCGCAGGTTTCTTTCTGTCCTGCTGCTTTCCATGTGAACACTGTCACGTTCTTAGGTAGATTCCTGTTTGGACTGTGAGTGGTGGATTATGTGATGAGCAGGTTGGGTGAATCAGGGATGAGCCTGTTTGATGATTAAACCTGCTTCTTGACTAGTTTTCCAAAGAACTTTCCATGTGGCTGAAACACATCCCTGGAAAAGTTCCACCACTGTCATGACCTTTTTGTCTTCATTACGAAACTGGGGATTAATTAAATAAGCTGCAAGCTTTTGTTTTTGGACAGAAAATTCTACCTCCTGCCGTGAAACATTTTGACATTTTCTGGATTGTAGGATATGAAATGTTTTGTTACCTTTGCAACAGTTAAGTGAGGGAGCATCTTGTTGATTGTAAATGTGTTGGCATGACTGGCTGACTATCATACCCAGGAATTAGAGCATATTAGCTGGTAGTCCACCAGCTAATATCCCCTTTTTATAATCACCTTCACCCCTGAGATCAGGGGTACTTTAATCCATCTTGGGTGACTGTGGTTCGGCCCCCGCTTCCCCGCGGGAGCTGACGCCCTGTCCACAGAGGACACTGTCTCCCCCGCCTTCCTGTTGCTGGTGCGTGCGGCTCTGCTGGCCGAGAATGATGTGGCAATGCCACGTCTCATCGTCAGAGTGCCGCTGCTACCGGCTGAAAGGTTTCTCCCTCCTGAAGCGCTTTCCCCTGTCAGCAGGTGCTGCAGGCCGGCTGCTGGACCAGCCTGTGGGAGACTGGCTGGAGCACGTGGGGCTGCCGCAGTACGAGAGCAAACTACTCCTGAATGGTTTTGATGACCTGCACTACATGGTGAGTTCCTCACTTCTTCTATATTATGTCCAAAATGACCTTAATTGACCTTAATACTCTTCATTTGACATTATCTTTCCTCACTTTTATTATCTGTTCCTTCTTTTCTTTCACCGCTTGCTCCTACTTAACTCCAGTTTGTGTCTGTGTTCATTAATCCAATTGACGCCACCCTCCATTAGCAGTGAGATGATCCCATTAGCTTCGTCTTAAGTTCAAATAGCTAAAATCCTGTAATGACCCCTCCCACTTTATCATGAGTCTGACTTGTTTTTCTGCAGTTACATAATATTATATGCAAACATCAGCACATAATTCAATATCACACATTACATCACACGCTTTATAAAATTCACCATTCACTACTTCATTCAATGGCGGAACCTTTCCTCTGGTTCTTGTGACAGTCTCTTTGGCAAGAGCATTCATTGATGTTTGCTAGATTTACACATCCGTTCAACTAAACACTACGCAGTTTGATATGTGCTGTCAAATATTTAGTTTACTGCTACTTTGATTATATTATGCCCGGGTGTGTGTTGAATCGGGTTTATGCCGCACTCTCTGCCTCCCAGACAGTCCGTCTCCAGCACAGGAGGCTGCTGCCGTGGCTTCTCGCTTACGGTCAGTGGGCCGGCTGCCTGAGAAGCAGCTGATGCCTGGACAGAATGGAGGAGCGTCTCAGTGAGCGATGGGATGCTGTTGCCAAGCTGACAAGTTTATAGAGCCCACGGTGTGCGACGCCACCATGGGTTGGCTCTGTTGCTTTTGTCAGTAATGAGGACTGATGGAGAAGACAATGAGGGACCCAGCTGGTAGGCTGAGCCAGTGGGCATGTTGGAAATGAAGACAGCCATCTTATGTGTCAAGATGAAAACTCTTTCCTCCTCCGTCAGGCCTATTGTATACCTTCTCTTGAAGAGCCATGTGTTGGCTGGTTTTCATCCCATCTAAACACTGCACTTGATCTGATCTCACTTGTTTGGTGAGAAAACGTGACAGGCAGACAACAGCTCTCAGCAACATTCACATATACAATAGTATGAATGTTTAATAGTAATAGTTTTTACTACTGTCTTATGGAATTTATCCAACTATGGCCATCACACATGATATTCATACAAGCCAGAATGCTGCATATACATTTTCAAACCATATAAAAAAACACAACTCTAGCACTTGAACCAACTACCTTAAATCACTGACAAAAACATTTACTGTGTAGTACTGGAGAAATCAGAGTAAGTACTAATTAAATAGTCCACCTTGCTGCCCAAATTTAAACACATTAAAACTGAGCACTAATATTTGATAAAGTTCTACACCATATTTGTTGAGCTATTTAATTGAAACTCTTTTAAATCATCATAGTTTGTAGAACACAAAAGAAACAATTTTAAAATGATAGAAACGAAAAGATGGTGCATGAGCCACAGTATTCACAGGACTCAGTACTGAATAAGAGGTTGGACCACCTTTTGTCTCTGAAGTGAGACCCTTCTAAAGATGGGTTATGTTTAATTAAATTGTTGTGCACATTGAGAGTAAAGTTATCTTCCTTTTTATGACCAGTGTGCCTGGAAGCAAGACATCCAGACGTCACGTTTGGCCTCTTGATAAATCTGTGCCCTTGTGTTTATAACTGCCAGTTAACATTCATACATTCATACACAGGCTTAGAAATTATTAAATCAAAAACAAGCAGAATCTGAACCCAAAGTGAAAAGAATAAAATAAAGTGTACAGTCTTTACAGTATGGCAGTTCACAACTGCAGCTAAACTTCATGTAACCTAAAATGGGTCACCTTTTTCTCAGTGATTCCAGTAGTGATGGATTAACTTAGTCCTGTTACTTCTTTCCTGGTGTGGGGAGAATTTATGCACCTGACAACACTGTGGTCCATGTTTATGTCTTACCAAATGAGGGTTAGTGTTGATTGGTGTCTTTTGTCATTTAATGTGTGTAAATTAGGACTTCTTGGTCTTCAGAGAGCAGATTTAGTCTTACTGAGACTCAGTGGGTGAGAGGCGGCCAAAATGTCCATCCATTTTGTCATCTATTTCTTAATAACAGCATATCGACAAAGTTGGAAACTTTATGCTGTTGGATAACAGAATAAATGTGAAAATTTGATGCCCTTGTATAGCACGGATTTATCCTATAGCTGTAGAAGCCAGCTGTGTCTGACTGATTTCAGTATACAGTCGTACTTGCGTGAATAATCTTTAACCTACTTTACATAACCTGTGAATAGAGCATTTCCTCCATTTATCTGCCTCTCTCCTTCTCACCCGGTGTCATCAACACCCATGTTTAATTCGGTGTTGAAGCCTCTGAAGTTGCTCTCTGGGTTTAATCTTTCTCGCTGTATTCTAGTCTTTCACACTCTCCTTCCTCAGCCCCAATTCTTCTTTTTTTTTCAAAGCGGAGAGCTGGCAATTTCTCTCTCTTTAAACACGGCTTACAGACCACCTGGCTTCCTGAAATCACTAGAGGTTTTAAAAAAAAAAGCTGTAACCTTTTAAACAACGTGTCCTTCCCTTAGTCGATGTTGACCCTTTTAAAAATCACCTTTTGGTTACATTTGGAAATGAAAATTACCTTCTGAGTCACCTTGTCTTTGCTAAACATTGCTAAAGTGTGTTCAGTGTGCTCTTGTGCATCAGAGTGGATAGAACAGGAACAGACTCTGTTCCATTGTTGGCTGTGTTACCAGACAGATATTTTTTAATTGTCTTAGTAGTATCCAGATTCATGGAGCCCCAAAATGTTCAATATTAAGGAATTATGAATTAATACATTGTGTCAGATATGAAAATAAACCAGTAATTTGTAAAAGTTTATTTATTCATTCTTATTTTCATAACAACATACTTTTTATTGGATTCATATTTTGTATCTGTATTCATCAACTGAACTCCAATAAAACTTTTATTCTCTTATTCTGAAAATAAGAGTGAAAACATAACATTTCATATTGATTTCTTTATGATTTCACAATTTATTGGTTTATAAGTTCTAAATAACACACAAACTCATGCATACACTCACCGGCCACTTCATCAGGTACACCTGTTCAATTTCTTGTTAACACAAATAGTTTATCAGCCAATCACATGGCAGCATCTCAATGCATTTAGACATGTAGACGTGCTGACGACAACTTGCTGAACTTCAAAACAAGCATCAGAATGGGGAAGAAAGGGGTTTTAAGTGACTTTGAACGTGGCATGGTTGTTGGTGCCAGACGGGCTGATCTACTGGGAATTTCACGCACAACCATCTCTAGGGTTTACAGAGAATGGTCCGAAAAAGAGAAAATATCCTGTGAGCGGCAGTTGTGTGGACGAAAATGCCTTATTGATGTCAAAGGTCAGAGGAGAATGGGCAGACTGGATCGAGATGACAGAAAGGCAACAGTAACTCGAATAACCACTCGTTACAACCAAAGTATGCACAATACCATCTGAACGCACAACACGTCGAACACGTTGAAGCAGATGGGCTACAGCAGCAGAAGAGCACACTGGGTGTCACTCCTGTCAGCTAAAAACAGGAAACTGAGGCTACAATTCACACAGGCTCCCCAAAACTGGACAGTAGAAGATTGGAAAAACTTGCCTGGTCTGATGATTCTCGATTACAGCTGCGACAGTCAGATGGTAGGGTCACAGTTTGGCGTAAACAACATGAAAGCATTGATCCATCCTGCCTTGTATCAACTGGCTGGTGGAGTTGGTGTAATGATGTGGGGGATATTTTCTTGGCACACTTTGGGCTCCTTACTAATTGAGCATCATTTAAATGCAACAGCCTACCTGAGTATTTTTGCTGACCATGTCCATCCCTTTATGACCACAGTGTACCAATCTTCTGATGGCTACTTCCAGCAGGATAATGCACCATGTCACAAAGCTCAAATCATCAAACGTGCATATGAAGTACACTTAAAAACAATGTTTGAGCAAAGCATGTCAGCTGTAGCCAATGTGGAGTAAGATCACTAATTGAACAGTGTTTACTCTTGTCATTCAGACCGCTGTGATCTCTGTGTACCCTGCAGGCTCGCTCTAAAAGTGGATCAATAACAGCAGTGATTGTATTGTGTTCAAGCAACAAAGCAGAGACAAGCCTCTTCTGAAACCAATTAGATACTTTTTACCGACTCGTGGAGCAAATGTCCCAATGAAACAAGCTCTGCGCGGCCACGCAGCTCTCCAGCCCTCGCTGGTACTGACAAGTAATGCTTTTTGAAACAAAAGGGCTCCTTCTTTCCTTGCTCTACTTTCTGCTGTGTGGTCGGCTGTGACAGGGTCAGCCGGAGGAGCTCCAAGTTAGTTTGTATTCGAGGCAACAGTAACTTCTGCAGGGATAGCGCTTTGTTTGAAGCAAGCACTCATGGAGCCGGCTAGAGAAGAACAACTTTACTTTTTGTTGTTTACTTTAAGGTTTCATGTCAGCAAAGGTGATTCTTCCCCTTTTTTCTGTCCTAATTGTTATTTTCTGCCATTAGATAAATGCAAAGCTGTTATGTTGGAAAGAGTCAATGCCACCAAAGCCTGCAGACAAATTGGAAATTCAGTAATAGCATCATGCGGTAGAAGCTCAAGGATTGGGAATGGATTAATTGATTTTTCTGTTGGGGGAATAGTGGCGATGCGTTGTCCATTTACCCATTTGAAAAACAGTTGTTTAGGAATTGAATTGAATACATGGTTCATTTTAAAACATTTATTTATTATCTTTGCACATTCTGTCACAGTTTCCTCCCTTTGTTTTTCTTCACTGGCCCCTGTGAACTTATGACAGGAGGACAAACTATGATTTTCAGTTCTGTTGGTTAGCTGTCCTTTAGACAGTCGGGACGAGTGATCCGTGCCTTCAAGCCCCTGGCCTGAATTCAGAGTGCTTTAAACCAGAGGGACCTCTGTGGCTGCTCTCTGGATAGGCGGAGGAGAGAGAAGCATTTTAATGAGAGGACAGGGGAAAGGAGAGATGGATGGGGCCGCACAGGAAAAAAACCCCACCTAGTTTACACTGCTAGATGATGTATCCTTTTCACCCATGTTGTGCTGATGTAAGCTTTCCCTCAACTAACAGACTCTCACTTTTAGACCTGCTGAGCCTGTGGTGAGGGAAAACAGTGTTGTGTTTTCAAAGTCTTTGTGTGGTGATAAATGGCTTATCAAGATAAGCAGAGGTGAGTTCAATATGTATGTTGCGGGAGATGGGAGTTTCATCAACTCAGCTACCTTTCAAAGACCAGACAGACAAATCATTGTTAGTGAATCGACTAGTTGATTAATGAATAGACTAATCATTTCAGCACTAATGTCAGTGTCTATCAAACCCACTTGGCCCAGAAGGACTTTTTCATAACAGATGTTTTGTTTTGATAACACAATTTACTTTTTCACCGCTAACATTTTGATAAGCCACAAAATCTGCAGTGAAACATATTTAAATTGGTTGTTTCCTGCACTTACGTTTCCTTTGCTTACATCAGTGATGCATATCAAAAACTGCATCTTAAAATTCAAAAAAAGTGCAGAAAACAACCCAGGGAATGGGAGCAAAGACTGTAGATACAGTCTGTTACAGCTGTATTTCCCCCCACAGAGCCATTTATCAGTTAATCTCCAGTGGGACAGTAATGCAATGATCCGTGCACTGTGAAAGTGCTATTATCCATCCAGCTCTCCAAATAGTTTCAATCCTCAGCTGGAGAGGCAGCGATCAGCGTGTTGCTGCTCAGAGATAATGGGCTTTGGGTTGTCAGTTTGGTGCGAGGTATTAAGAAAGCAAAAGAGTGGCTCTGTGATGTCTTGTGCTCAATATGAGCTCTAACTAGGGGCCGTGCTTCACCATAGTTATGACCGACATTACTTCTCTGGAGAGTTCATGCACTCATGTAGCTCCAAACTTTCCTAACTTCCTCTTAACTTTTCTGTCTGTAGTTCTGTCCTTTTTGTCTGCCTGCCTTCCTGTTCTTTCTCTTTTTGCACCTTTTTGTCTCTTACTTTATGTCTGTTTTTGTCTTTCTTTCTTTCTTTGTTTCTATCTGTTTTTCTGTCTGTTTTAATGTTCTTCTTTCTTACTGCCTTGCTGTCTGTCCATCTTTTGTCTTCCTGATCTTCTTTCTGTATTTCCATTGTTTATCTGTTCTTCTGTTTTTTTTCTTTCCTTCTCTCTGTCTGTCTTTCTTTCTTACATGCACTCTTAACCAGTCTGCTCATATTACATATGTATGCTCTCTGAATGTTGTATCATTGTAAAACTGTATATCAGTGGCTTACTCTGAGAAATTATTGATTAACATTGTGACTCTACAAGCAGCATTACACAGATTACTCTGCGGTTTTTACTGTTTTACTATCACTGACAGAGTCGCTGCTCCCCCCTGCTCATCCTTTCCACCCCTTGTTAGCATCCACAGCATCTGCATGAAAAACAGGCTGTCAGGTTTGACCTACAGACAGCGTCTCTTCTATCCCGTTGTGTGTGTGTGTGTGTGTGTGTGTGTGTGTGTGTGTGTGTGTGTGCGCAGAGGTGAGCACCTTAGGATTAGCTCGAGGTTCATATTGAGGAGTCAGCCACATGTGCCCTGAGCTGTCACAATTTGTTCCTGAGGCAGCAGCTCCAATAGAGCATCATGATACTTTAACATAGTTGCTGACCCGTCTTTAGAAGTAACACAGTTAGCGTTTATGGCTCTCTGTCCTACAGTCAATAAGATGAACTAATTGATTTTGACTGTCAGACCGTTGAGTTTAGAAATAGAAGCTTTTTGGGGCACCTGTAAGCTCACCTGGTAAAGCACGCACCATGTACAAGGCGGAGACCCAGGTTTGATTTCACCCATCAGCCCTTTGCTGCATGTCATTCTCTCCCCCCCCCAGGGTGTTTTGACCCCACACCCGGCAGCCATCAGTTATAGTCTTATCTACTATCGATGCACTAGTTTTCTACCCCTCCATCTCATATTGCTGACCACTGTGCACTTCTGACATTGATTTATCACTCCTTCTCTATAATCAATTACCTGCCACCCCGTCCCAAAGGTGGGACTGTGTGAAGACGCGTTTTGATCATCATTCCCACACATCCCTGTCAGTCCCCTGCACTACACACTTACATCTCATTTGAGGAGTTATTGATGCCCCCTTACTACAGTCATTACCTAGGGTCCCAGTGAGGAGTCTCATTTAGAAGTAATTGACCTAATTTTTTTTCTTTCATTGCATGTGGTCAATGATTACCCTCTAGCATAGGCTCTTCTCGGGGAGGATTTGTCTAAACTAGTTGGAACCAGTCAGCTTGTGTTTTAGTGTTTATAAAGTATAATTTATTCAAACCAGAGGGACCGCCTGAAATCCATCACTTGATTTGTGTTCTTTTGCAGGGACTGTATTTAGGTGAGTATTGTTGCCGATGACGGGCTTTTAGAAATTCTCATATCCTGTTTTGTTTTTGTCATTTCTTCTATAGGGGAGCAATGTAATGGAGGACCAGGACCTGAGAGAGATTGGGATCACAGACCCAAGTCACAGAAAGAAGATTTTGCATGCAGCACGTTCGTTACCCAAGGTGAAAAAACATCGATTACTACTTCAGTACTCATCACAGCGTAGTATTCAATGTCTTGCATTGCATGTGATGTTAGATCACAAGGTGCTTATCTCCCCTTAATACCAAGGCAGTAATGCAGTGATGGAAAGTCATTAAGTACATATACCCATTCAATGTACTTAAGTACAATTTTGAGGTACTTGTGCTTAACTTACTTTATATAGTACTTGTTACTCCACTACATTTATCAAAAAAAATAGTTACTTTTCATATTACGATCTAACATAAAAAATATATACGATAAGCTTATGAAATACAATTCATTGTTAAAAGATTTAACCAATAGTCTCTATCCTCTTTTGCTTGTGAACTTGTGAAAAAGTGATTTCCCCTCTAAACTTGTCAGAAGGTTTCATTTAAATAACTTTTTATGTTCTTTGGGGCCCAAGAAACTAAGATTACCCAATTACCCAACCCCATTTCACAGAAGATAAACGTCCACAGAATGAATAATGAATATTTTTGTAATTTCCTCTCATTAATTATCTCACAACCCCCCACCCCCCACAGATTTATCTTGTCGGGGGGGGGGGGGTTGTGAGATAATAGTAAGATAAAAGTAATATCCATGTACTTTTTGACTGCAAGATTTTACTTATCATTTTTAATTGTAGCAACTTCCTTTAAAAAGTCAGACAGGTAAATTGGTAAAAAAAAAAAAAAAAGCATATAGGCTCAGACGTTGTCCCTCAGAGCACCAGTGAATGATTAAGTCTTATAAATCTACAGGTGAAAGCGCTGGGCTGTGACGGCAGCAGCTCCCTGTCCTCTTGGCTGGAGAATCTGGGCCTACAAGAGTACTTGCACAACTTCCTGGCCAGCGGCTACCGCTCTCTGGACTGTGTCAAAAACCTGTGGGAACTGGAGATTGTCAATGTGAGTCACAGTGACGTACATGGACTAGGAGGAGTATCAGAGGGTGAAATTAGTTTTATATGGTGTTACAGAAAATTCAGGATAAGGGACACGTTTGACAGTTTACTCCAGCTTTGTTTTGGGGAGGTAGGGAACTCAAACTTTGAAGGTGAATACATAGAACTTTGATGTTGAATATTGGGGAGGCTGTTTCTGAAGCTTCATACAAACCTGTTATATTTAAGGTAGTGACGGTTTAAGAGGAGGTTAAAAGAAAAAAAATCAAAATGGCAAAACAAAGGCTTTATTGAGAATTATTTAGGCATTTAGGGTCTCATTTAAGGCTTGATGACTTAAAGGAAAGTTAATTAGCAGCATCTGATGTTTCTTGGCTTCCAATGTTCCAGCACTTCTGCTTCCTCAATGCTGCCCTACATGTTTACTACATAATTCCCTCTTTCCTCCAGGTGCTAAAGATCTCCCTACTTGGACACAGGAAACGCATCATTGCTTCCTTAGCGGAGAGGCCCTATGAGGAACCTCCAGTCAAGCCTCCTCGTTTGTCTCAGATCAGGGTGAGGAACCACAGACTCCTACACTGTTTTACAACTTTCAAGTGTATCTGCATTTCTCTTTTCCTACACTTTAATATGACACGTGTGGTAAGAATGGATACATAATAGTTTGATGGTTTTCCTTCCTTTCAAGCTTGGCTCTGTTAGTTTCAGTCATTCACATTTTGCAGGGTTTTTTGTGATGGGTCAAGCACTGTAACGTACTTCATGGGACAATTAACCACGTATGACTCTGTTTTTCCAGTGCCAAGACCTGCCAGGATCCAAGACCTCGTCTCCCCTCAGTCAGATAGAATCCTACACGGGACGCTCAATGGACCCTCTGCTGCCAGTGGGAGAGCCGGGGAGGAAAAAAGTGCCAGATGCTGATTATGACGTTACCCAAAGATATCGTAGTGAACGACATAAATCACATGTATGTTTAGGTTTATCTCTGTCCCTCATTTCATCAGTACATTGTATCCTTCAGTATGTGCTGTAGTGATTATAGCGGCCCTGTTCTAGTCTTATCATAATCTCTTTCTTTCAGGAACGGTATGAAGAACGGCATCGAGAGCCCCGTCTGACCCTGCGGCCGCCTAGTCTGGCAGCACCATACGCCCCAGTCCAGAACTGGCATCACCAACCTGAGAAACTCATCTTTGAATCCTGCGCCTACGAAGCCAATGTACGTTTCCGCCTTACTCCTTCTTCCACGATGCAGTTTTCATTGAACATACACACCAATATCTCTCTTATTGCTTTGTAGTACCTCGGTTCCATGCTTATTAAGGATCTACGGGGTACTGAGTCAACGCAGGACGCCTGTGCCAAAATGCGGGTATGCTACAATTTTCTTATCCAATCTCAGGACACCAACACAATTATATAAGCGATGGATAATCACCTTAACGTCCTTTCTTTCGTGTCCCTCTTTCCTCCAGAGGTCAACAGAACAAATGAGAAAAGTCCCTTCCATCGTCCTCTCGATCACCTACAAGGGTGTGAAGTTCATTGATGCAGCCAGTAAGGTTAGCTACTACACACGTACACTGCCCTGCTCTGTCGATGTTTACTTTTTAACCTTGCATGTTTTTCGAGTCATAATGTTCAATCAAAGTGAACCCAGTGCAAGTGTTTTCTTTTGTGGTATTTATTTAGATCAAGCTTCTTTTCTGTGATTGTAAATGTCATGCCATGTCAGATTTGTTCATGTTTGCATATCCTGACGGGGGAGTAAGTTTGCTCATATTGACATTTATTTGACATTAATAAAACTGTATTTCTTTGTATGGCTACACTTCACTGTGATGGCTGTGAAACATTATTTGTGCCTCAGTGCCTCTTCTTTACTGACTGTTGCTTGTCGTATTTTAAATCATAATTTATGATACACAAAATGCACCACTTATAGCATTGAAGTTCTGTGTGACATATTTTGTTTGTGTTGTGATAATAGCATCTACTTTCTACTCGTTGCAGAACATCATCGCAGAGCATGAGATCCGAAATATTTCGTGTGCAGCCCAGGACCCAGAGGACTTGTGCACATTTGCCTACATCACCAAGGACCTGCAGACCAGCCACCACTACTGCCACGTGTTCAGCACAGTAGACGTGGTAAGGACGCCCTGGCAGTCTCGTCCCCCTGGGGCAAGAAAACACGCTGGTCTATCTGTCTTGAAGGTGAATTATGTCGGCTGGTTTTTTTATGCACATGAGGTGAAAATACTACAAGGAGAATTTCTGGTGAGTGTTGAAAATGTTCCTCTCTGGTAAATTTGAATTCCTCCAACATCACCTCCCCACACTTAGGATGAGGAGATGTGACCGCCGTCCCCGGTCAATATTGTTATCTCCAGACTGGCCTATCTCCACAAGGTGTCACGCTTCAGTTGGAGTTGATTGCCTCCTTGTAGACACAGTGCTACTCTGGCGATGATAACTAGCCCTCCATTACCTACTCTGTGCCCATGAGATATGATGATTATCCTGCTATCTGCCTCATAATGCAGCCAGGGTCATTCCAGAGTAAAGTCAGCCTAACAATGCTCAGTTTCCTCTGCGGGTTCTCTGAGCTCTGTGATGTCCTCTGTGGGGCTGAAACAAGGGGCTTCCCCTTGCAGTGCTAAAGAAGCTTGATAACCGTCAAAGGCCACAGCAGCCATTAGATCAGTTATTTTAAAATGTATTGATCATGGTGCTGCTATCAGCCTCCGCCAGACACCACCCTTGTCACACAGAGAGGGAACACAGAGCAGATCACGTCAGGCAACAGACACACCAGGGCATTGAGTAAACGAGAGACGTAGTCGTCTCAGGGCAGATTTTTCATCAAAGGATATGCAGATGATTTCAGTGCCCTGTGTCAGATTCTACCATATGATTGCTTTTTCTTCCCCAGGCATGTAGTGTGAAGTTGGAATCCTCTGTCTTTAGTCTGAGGTGCTTGTTCATATCTGGAAGCTCTCAGGATATAACAATAGAGAGCAGTAGCAGCTTTAATACTAAGCTAAAGCGGAGGTATCCAGTTCAGGCACTTCTCCTTGTTATGCAATTTTGTTTTGATGAAGTCTTAGACGTTTTGCTGTCTCACTGTAAGCTGCGGATTGTGTTGTTCTCTGTGCTGGGAGGCTGGGAGGCTGGGAAAATATTTAAAAATGGCTGCCTACCCTTCTTTTTTCACCCTTTCTGTATAGAACCTGACCTATGAGATTATACTGACACTTGGCCAGGCGTTTGAGGTAGCCTACCAGCTGGCTCTCCAGGCCCAGAGGACCAAACAGCACCAGAACCTCCCAGTGGGATCCGGTGCAGAGGTTGTTGAGACCAAGTCAAGTCGACCTGTACCCAAACCACGAGGCAGTGTAAGGAAGTCAGGGGTGAGTTGGACATCAAACATGTCAAACAAGACACAATGTACAGACATGGAAGGGTTTAGTGGCAGTATTTTAATACCAGCACAAAGACTACTTCTGCTACTGCAGCCCCGGGACTGTGTGAGGTGAAAGGTACAGTGTTCTGTAATTTATGTAAAAACAATAGAAATTTAGTTATTGTGGTTGGCCTGCTGATCGACACATCCAGCAGTTGGAGCAGCAGCAGTGGATGTGACGCACAGCCCATGGAGGCAGTTAAAGTACTTTAAAGCCAAATGAGCGCCCAATTGCAATTTGCATCAAAATTTGGACTCTCTCTTCTCAGTCATAACTCAGTCAAATCTGAACACACAGACATGATAGACCTATTTTTAGATTGAGATGGACTTACACTTCCTGGGGACGTCATTATCACTCTTGATTATCACAGGTATATTGCAAACAGGAGCTGCTAATGGCTAATCTGGCAGCTTTTAATGGTGCCAGTTTATAAATTACTTTTGTCTGAGGGTGGGGCCACAGTGTCAGAAATGAAGTGTTGTTTTAACATCTTCAGACTTCCTTCCCTTCTCCCCCTTCCTCATGCACCTTGGAAGAAGGTGAAGCGTTGCCAGAAATCTCTACTCTATGTACCTGATGTAACAACTAATGTTTTTAGGGAAACATAATTCTAGCCTTTTCAAATCAAATCCACAAAACACATTAGACAAGTCTTAGAACATTTGTATCAGTCTACAGCTTTTCACATCATTATGATTACACTGTGCTGCCGTTTGTCTGGCCATTAGCATTAAACCATTAAGAAGTGAGCTTGTGCTGAATATAAATGAGGTAACTAGACCTTGGGGACCAGTCATACACACATCTCCGGCTGAAGCTTAATGAACTGAACAGAGTCATGTAACAATGTGATGTTTACTGTCACTCCTCTTGTGTTTGCCTCACCTTTGTATTTTTGCTAAATACATTTTATACCTTTATTGAAACAAATGCACTTTTCCAGAAACGACCTGCCTCATGCGCCCACACCCGTAAGCTGCCCAGTACAACCCCAGTCTGACTTGTGTTGGCTATTTCAGACCCCTCATGTCTCATGCTATGCAAATCTGTGTCAATTTCTCTCTCTCTTTTTTCTCTCTCATTCCTTCCTCCTGTCTGTTTCTCTTGTGTTATTTCCCTTCTTCTTCTTCTTCTTCCTCTCCTCTCTCCTCCTGGCGGTGTTTATCTCTCCCAGGACTCTCCTCCTCTCGACAGTCGTTGCTGTTACTGTTACACCTGCACCACCCACCGTCCCTCCTTCCTACCGCTGCACTCTACCAGCCCTGCTGCCCAGGTGCTGCCTTCACACCCTCGTCTCATCCTGTCCCATCTCGGTGCTCTCACACTTTGCTTCTTTTTTCTGCCTTCCTATCCCCCCCCCTACCATAAAAGAACATAATTCTCCATTTGTGTTTAACCCATTTTGTCTTTGTGAATATATATTGTTATTACTTTCCTACACTTAGCCACATGTGGACTGATGAATGCTTTGAAAATTACTTTTAACTCAGCTGCCCTCTAGTGACAGTTTGGCAGAAACACACAACGCAAGCAATGTTAACATTCACAGAGAAGCTCATTCAGTGGTTGGGTCTTAATGGTGTAGCTGTAGATTGAGTACAATGTCCTAAACGTATTGTTAGTGAAGTACACTACTTTGCAAAAAAAGTACACATTTATAAGCAGTTTATATAATTTAAATAAATGGTTTATAACACACTAATGTAGACATTTAAGTGTTCATGAATTTATTCATAAACAATTATAACTTCTCCTGTGAGGACATATTTTATATTATAATAACTATGTTTTACTATATTGTCATTCATTAGCTGTTACACCAGCCTATACTTATGGGTGACCACAGGAAGAGTTATCTTTGTTGACAAATGTTGTCAATAAACACCTAATGTAATAGTTAAAATGAATTGTTTTGCTTTGCTATGGTTGGGATGTTACTCCTTTCATTCTTATTCACAAACACAACTTTAAAATTTGAGGTAAATGTCAACACAAGACACTGAGGCCTGTTGGCAATAGGATGTATGCATTATATAATATTCATATGCATGAAAACAGTCACTGGACTTGATTGTGAGGGTCCTTTCCCTCTTTGATTCAGTCCCAAATGTCACTGACTGATTTTAAACAAGTTACTTGTCTAAGGTGCGCTGCTGTCGAGGGGCCACAAGTTTGATGCCCTCTGTCTGTGTTTACAGGGGGACACAGTGGAGCAGGAGGGGGATTCTCAGTCCCAGGGCAGTGCCATGTGGCTCGGGGACCCCAAGGAATCCAAGCGCACTATCAGTACTAAGTACGAGACCACCATTTTCTGAGTGGAACCCCTCTTCCTCCTGACCTCTGACCTCTGGGTCCGGTCTCACCCCTCTTCCTTTCCCCCCTTCTGTGTGCCTTTCACTGTGACTCTTCCTCTGTCCCTCTCTCTGGGCTAGGCCCCTGCCCTCTCCGGTCTCCCCTCAGCCATCACTTGTGTCTCCATCTGAAAACAACACAACCTGCGGCAGTTAAACAATACTTTTATTTCTCTCTTATGCTAAACCACCACTACTCCTACACTAGTTATTGCTTAGTAGTGCAACCCTTCCACTTTATCAGCTATCTTCTAGCTGGCATCACTCCCAACCTTTTCTGTTTTTCTCCTCTCTGTTTTACCCTGTATGCTTCCTTAATTCTGTGTACAATGCTTCCTTTTTTCCCTCTCGTCAACATCCCACTATTGACTCTTGGTGATAAGCTCTTTTTTTTTTTCTTGATGCTTTTCCTGCTCCATTAGGCGACGGCCACTCTGAGGCTTTTCACTCTGATCTTTCAACTCCTGACTTCTCCCTTGAGTGCTGAGAAAATCTGATTTACCACAGCCAAGAATGACCCACTGCTCACATCCTGTACCTGGATGGACATGTTTCCTGAGGAAACTGAGACACTGGTTCTGTAATTCTATGCGTCAGGTGGACTTTAGCGGACTGTTTCTGTTCAGTGGGATTCAGAGGTTGTGGTGTTAACTGAGGTTACACCGGGGGATATTTTTCACTGTCAGCAGCCTGCTCAAAGCCAAAGGAGGCTAAGATCCTAGCACTGTGATAAAGTCCTTACGGAGCTAATTAGTAAGCATTTTGGGGGGGTTTCTAGAGGGGAAAAAGGGGGGGAACAGAATAGGGCATAGAGGCTGATCTGGACCCGCATGTAAGTGGTCCTTGCTGCTCCAGAAAATAGAAAGTCCAAACCTTCTTAGGACTGGCATACCCTCCTCTGTTTATCAATCTGAGCTCCCGGATATAAACCTGATGCTTCCTCTGGAGTGAACTAACTGTAACTAAGCACTTTTACCAAATCCCCAAGTGTGTAAGAAAAAGTGCAACTTCCTCTGTCCTGTCTTTTTTTCTTCTTTTTTTCACAACAAATGCCTTCTATGTTCATCCTGTCAGCATTGCCTTTCGTTTTGTCAATCACACCAGGTTAATATTTCACGGCTGCTGGTAAAAAGAGTTAATCATTGTAAAGGGAGGGTTATCTGTCACCATCTGGCTGTTTGTGCCCATTAGTACCGTGTCATTTTTTTCAACTTTATTTTAACCTCACTGCTTTGTGTGCGTGTGTCTATGTCCCTTCCCTATAGCTGAACACTGGTGGCCACTCCCCAGCCTGTAAGAAAGGACAGAAATGAGCCCTGTTGCATGGTGGCGTGAGATATTTTTGTAAGGAAAGTGACCCACTTCCCATGCGGCAGATCGCGCCACCAGTTTTGGATCGTGCTCACCACAGTAACACACGGGCCTGGAGACAAACGGACGCAAAGCTTTGAGCACTGCAAGGCCCACCAGTTCTGACCTCACCGACTTCATCACTCCACATGCACACACCCGCCTCCATTTAGCTTCCTGTCCTTCAGAAAGTGATGGTTGTGCCAGTCAGATGTATTTAATATGCTTTATGGGTTTCCTGTGGAATGAATTGTTGCCTGCTGACACCTATCAGGCCTCCCTCACAGAGAGTTAGTGTTTACTCTTTCAGGGAATGTACCTGCAATGTTTCCATGCAGAACTTGTAGTTAAAGGGGAAGTGGCTAAGATAAGGAACTTTATTGGGTTGTTTTTTTTGTTATTGTAATACAAAGGTACATCAGGCAGAGACCCTCACACTGTAGGTACACATCCCTTACTGGATTTTTCGTCCTGTATCCACACATTGTAGCTTCTCATCTACAGCATACATGTATAACTGTGATATACAATGTAATCTTGCACGGGAGGAACCAAACTCAAAGGGCAGAACTGACACTACAAAGACTGTTTTATAAGAATAATATAAGATGGGGTGGCTCTTATCTGAAAGTTTTCTCTCTTTTATGTTGTCTGTTTTAATTGTAGAACAGTTACATGTCCTAATGCTGGAACTGGATCAGGTGTGGTTCACTGCAGTTCTCTCTCTCTCTTGCTCCCTCCCTGTTCCTTTGTTCAGTTAATCAAGACAAGATTATTCACCAAACCTGCCATGCAGGCTGGTATGTATTTAAAATTCAACTGGAAAACAGAACAACAGGGCACAGCATGTTTCTCTTAGCTAACTCCCAGTATGTTGACTGTTAATGGTACTGCTCGTCAGCCAATGTGTATATGAGTACATAGTCAGGTTGTTTTGGTTTAACTGTTGTATATGTGGTACGTTTTCAGGCCAGTACGATAACTCTATGGTACACTGTCTTCAGCTCGCTGGCGTCGGCACCTTCAGCCATCAGCCCGGTCCCGTTCTGCTTTTGCACATTGCTATGGATCAGGAGAGATATTTTGGGACTAATCTGATGACAATGATGAGAATGATATTGTACATGAATCTAGCTGTCTGTATTTTGATACTTGAATGATTTTTGCTTTTATATATATCTCTATATATATGTATATGTATGTATGTACGTATGTAATTTTTGACGTTGTCAAAAGAGAGAAAAGGACTATGTCTTATAAAGTTAAACATATCGTGAATAAACACCCTGTGATTTAAAAAAATAAATAAAAGGCTGAGAAAATAATGACTCAGAAGAGGACCTCACTTCAGAAAAAAAGATTGTAAATAATCTTGGGCTTCCAGTCTTTTTTATGATTATTTTTCATAATTGTACAACTAATAAATGGCGCAATTAGACATGCTGTCCGTGTTGACTCTTTATTTGTCCATTCACTGATCCTTTTTAATCTTACCAAAGAACTTTATGCATTCTTTTTCCCAACTTTGACAGAACTTTCTTTCATATGTTGACAATCTGCCATTCTGTTTCACAGCCCAAGGCGACGCTGTGTATTGATGCCTTAGAGTATCTCTATTTATCAGAGGGTGAACAAGGTCAGTGGATGTGCCAGGATGAAATGTTTGGTCTCCACTCTCCATTCCCATTTCATAAACCTTTCTTTGCTGAAGGATGGACAGCAACAGCTCAGAGACGGTGCTGGTGTAATATAGTGCACACAAGCTTTTGTCAGTATGAACAACAAGCTACTAGGAGGCTGCAGTGATATTCCCAAAAGCATTTTTTTAGGACAGACATGTTTCTGCAGTATATTTCGTTGCATTTATACTCATTGTCCAGCATTACACAGTATCATTAACTATCATGGAGCAAAGGGGTTTTCCTTGCCCACAAATGTAGCTCTGTGAAGGCTTTTAATAAATAGTGTTTTTGCAAAAATTAAAGTTTGAAACTTTAATTTGAAAAAATGCTAACAACCACTGTGTTCTGTTTTTGTGTCTTTGTTTACTTTTATTAGCTGAGATGAATTCAAATATTGTACATTTTCCAAATTGCCCCTGCTCCAGGTTGTGCACTGGCATTATTTTTTATCTTTGTTACAAAGGCAAAGAGTAAACAGAAGAAAATTACTACAGCTATAATTCAAATGCCAACTGCTGTGAAATGTCAACAGTAACTCATTTAACAGTTGCCTCAAAATAATTCCGGAGCTTGTGAATGTATAAATAGATGGTAAAATACTTTTTTATATAACCGCTCCTACAACCAGTTGGTGTTTTCATATTTTCCTAGTGTCTCATTCTAAAGAACCAAACCACATTTATGTTTTGGTTGAATCTAAGTCCTAATACTGGATTCAGAAAAAAAAAACAGATCTAATTATGTGGCACAGTAAATAATTGTGTTATTTGATTTCTAAGCCAAGTTATGCTTTTTTTTTCTTTTGGAAAAACAAACATGACATGTGGCATTACCTTTAAATCACCTACACTAAAGCTGTTTCATATCTTTGATGCAAATATGTGACTGCTGATATGTAAAAAAAAACAAAAACAAAAAGGTTGAATTTTGTAACATGACATCACTGGCCATCATGAAAACATCAACAGATCAGATGGTGATGATGATTTCTTTCAAACTGACACAATCTCCTCACGGCGTACATCTTGTACTCAATAAGTCAAACAAGCCATGTGGTATTTGTTTATAGGATAGTAAAAACAGGATGATATTTTATGGTACCCCTTTCTGATAAGGCATACTTTATAGAGGATTTATAAGTAGTAAGTTTATTACCTATAAGCTGTATAGATTGTTTATAAGCCATTAATAAGAACAAGTTTAGTGTTAACAGGTTGTGAAGAATCTCCTTGCTGGTGCTTATCCTTTCTATTTGGTAATGGTGCGGCTATAAAAGTAATCAATTAATCGGTTTTACAGTTTCTAACAAGCCCACAAGTCTGCAGTTACAAATGTTATTAATAAAGAGTAACCCATCAACACTGCAATTGTATATGTTAATACTTCTTGCTGATTAGCCTAATAAAAGACATGTTCCCACTTATAACCCCTTTATTGATGGTGCCTTATTAGAAAGTGGTACTGATATTTATACATTAACACTGATGTTGAACTTGAGTGACCTTTGTCCGCTCACAGCTGATATAAGTAAACACAGTTTAAAAATTATTTATTTGTGGGCAGAACAAGGGATTTATAGCCATACTCTCTGTGGATGGCTATGGCGGTTGATCACTCGACCACTTTCGTCCAGACTGAACTATCACAGTCTATGAACTATGAACAGTTATTTGAGGTTGACGTTTGTGGTTCAAATTGAAATATTTGCTACAGATATTCAAGGTCAAGAGGATAAATTCTATATTTTCTCCAGCATCACCACCAGGTCAAAGTGTTCAGTTATTTAATATAAAGTCGCAACATCTAGGTGATAGATTGGGATAAAATGTTGTGCATACATTCATGGTTTCCAGATGATGACATCTACTGACTAGCATGTTTAGTACCTCCTTGTCTCATCCAGTGAGAAAGCAGCCTAATGCACAGCACAGTATATGGTAGGTAGATTTAAAAATATTATGAATTCTGATTAAATTCTGATGTTTTAATATTCTGACTTTTTTGCTATGTCAGAAAACACCTATGTGGCATAAATTCTGAATGTGCAGAAAATTTGGAACATGAGCAAAAACACAGAAGCTAATAATATCCAGGAGTTTATAGGGGAAGAGGTCACTTCCCAAACAAAGATGCGGGAAGAAGATTAAATCAGGCTTACATGTGTGTTGACTCAGCAGGGATGATATTGACTGAGAAAAGATGATCTACAGGAGAAACATATCTGACAGCAATACAAAATGCCTGAAAGCTTTACTGCATATTGTTTTAATTTTTTGTAATTTGAATGGTCACCTGCTGCAAGAAGTTTCTCTTTATATAACTGGACATGTCTACCATAAATTGATGCAGAAAAGGCAGAAAATGGTGCTGAAAATGTCCCCAGAATGCAGGAGTGTTTAATGCTCAAACTTTTCTGGGGGAGGAACCCCGGACACCGTGATTAATACGTCTCCCCTCCAATGTTGAAGCAAAAAGCTCTTGCATTTCAACAACAAAATTAATCCATAAAAACAGTCTCTAAAATCACATACATTTTCTGGGGGAACATTCCAATACCTGGTTAGGTTTGGTCTCCAGATTTAGGCTGTGATGTCTGGAGGTTGGAAAGTATACTTATTAACCACACTTATTCATCATTGACCATTAGGCCTATTATTGACTTGGGTTTTTATCCATAACTGTTTAACAATTGTCTGCTGAACTATGAACAAAAGTCTTGATGACCCTGATCCCTGCAGTGGGTAATGTCAAAGAAGGCCTGCTCATAAACTGCACTGTCCTCAGCAAAACTGAATGTTACTCCGAACTAAATTGAAAAGTTGGCAGCCCTGATACACCCGCTTAACATCAACATGGTAGCATCATCTGGGTTGCGTTCACCCCGCGACCCTGTACGCAGGATAGGCGCTTGACGATGGATGGATGGATGGATGGGTTGCGTTCATTTGGCTGCTGTGACTCCATTGGCTCTTCCTTGGAAATGTCTTGATCAGGCGTTCACTGGTTGGCCACACGGTTCACCTGGCTGCAATTATTTCCCACCTGTTCCGTCAGTGACTTCTGGTAGTGCAGCAGCAGTGCAGCTGCTGGTGTCGGAGGGGAGAGAGGTGCACCACCGCGTTGGACTGACCTGAAAACAGCGCTCTCTTTTTATGTATATATTGCTAAATATACGCACAGCTGTACGGTTTTTACCGAGACTGTCATCTACGGTGAGTTATCAGGAAATCATTCTGTTTGAAGTGAGTGCGATGTTTGTTTCTTCTTTGGACACAGAGGAGTTACAAGTTATGAGGAACAAAGTTGTTGCGTTATTTTAAAAGCCCATTCGCTTTACCTGAACATGTAATCACCCTTGTTTAGACGTGTGTATTTGTAAGTTATTTTCTGAGAACAAACCATGACCTCTAGTTATAGTTTTCTAGGCTTTTAGTTGATTTTCTTCCTGCAGTTGATGATGTTTTACCAGTGTGAATGACCCTATTTGCACAGATAGCGTCGTACTGTGTCAGTTATCAGCAGTTTGGGTCGAAGGGAGATGAATTGGAGGGACAGTGCTGCTATTAGATTATAAAATTATTGATGCATTACTGTGCTCATTACTTTAATATTGCAACTCCTAAAGGTGGGGCTAATTTCCCCCTGGGGTCAATATAGTATACCTCATATGTTATGATTTTATTAGCCTAATCAAAGTAACTAGTAAGTAAAAGTATTAAATTAATATAGTGGTATAAAAGTACAACATTTGCCTGAATGGTAGTGGAGAAGAAGAATAAAGTAGCAGAAAATAGTACAGTACTTGAGTAAATTTACATTCCACCACTGTGGAAAGATGGGTGGAATACTGCCAGTGTTAGAAATATTCCCACATATGATCAGCATTACTAACATTTCAGCCCACATTTCTTTTCAAATATGACACACTGATCAAGAGTGTTTAATCATTGCATTTTAGTGGCTTAGTGAGTAGAGGTTGAGTCAGGGAAAGTACAAATATTTGCACATAAATGTCAATAATAGTCATTTTAGTGGGACAAGGTGCCAAGCTAAACATTAATGAAATAGTTCTGTTCACTCCAGCAGGTTGTGAGTTGCACAACCTGCTGGAGTGTTGTTTACTGTTACATATTAAACCATTTCTCTGGCTGCCCTTGAAGACATACTTCACATTTTTCGACTTCACATGTTAGCCCCTCCTATTTTGGGGGGGGCTAACACACTATAACAAACATGTGCTTTCCACTGAGAGGAAATTAAATACATCAAAGACCTGGATCCTCCCTTTTTATAGTTATAGCATTTTTATCTGCTAAGGTGTAATTCGGGTGCAACGCCCTGTCACATCAGAGCACTCGGATGAATTTAAGAGTTGTCTTAAAGACATGGAAGCAAGCAAAGTGACATTCCTGTCGCTATTAAATGCTGACTCAGCTGTGGGTGTAGAGCTCTCCCATTGCTGCCCTACAGGTTTTCTGCCCTGTTAAAGTTTGAGACGTGTTGGCTGCCAACACTTCAACATTTTCCTCCTTGCTCTGCTGATCTGCATAGGCTAATGGGGAGGGAGAGTAATTAGCAGCTGTTAGAGTTGTCACTAGGAAGCCATGTGTGCTTAGTCAACCAGCTTTTGTTTCTAGAAAACACATGCAAATGTGGGTGATCTGGTTTTTCCCTGTCCTTGCTATGTCTTCATGTCAACAAGCCCAATGTCATTGCTCTTTGCCAGTACTTTAGAGTAGTGGTCATCTGAGCAGTCACAAAGTCATCTGAGCAGTCACAAAGTCATTGTAATTATCTGTGTCTTATCAAGTTTTCTCTTTTTCTTAAAACAAATCGGGGAAAATATGCCAATGAAATGAGAATATTTCTCAGTCATTTTATAAATCTTCTAAAGTTTTCTTTTTCTTCATTCAAGTGCTGCAACCTGCCTTGAAGTAGATTTCTCATGGAAACAGTTTGAAATTCTCACTTGTTTTAAGAAAGGTTTGTGGGGTTGAATTGTTATCGAAAGATATTTTGTACCTTTTCAGGCCTCTAAAAATCCTGCAAATGAAACGAAAATTGAGTAGGAAAATTGCTCATATGGAAATAGACATCTCTCCTCTTTACCACCATCTACTGCAAGTCATACACTGACTATGGAAAAGTATCTCATACAGCCCAACATCAAAAATCCTGAACTAAGGTGTCAAGAACCAAAAAGTTTAGGAACTACTGCTCTAGATCACAAAAGTAAAGTTAAATGTTTATCCGTGTTTAAGACGAAATTATGTCCTCTCAGTGGAAAGCACATGTTTAGTAAAACCAAGGCCAAAGCCACAATTTCAGAATACTGATGTCTAAAATATGATGATTCAAACATCCAGAAATACAATTATTTGATTTTCATTAGCATTTATATATTTAGTTAACTGTTCAGTTACATTTTATGTAGAAGAATAACATTCTGGTGAAGAAATACTGAATCAATATGTTGTTTTTAGGCATAAAAGTAGTCACATAGAAATAAACGGAATACTTGAATATACCTTTTAAATGCTCCCCATGTGTTTTTGTGGGAATGTGATTCCCCCCTCGGCTCTGCTAAAAAACCCATATTCACAGAATAAAATACAGAAGACATGATCTCACTGTCCTCTATGGTCACTACAGCCCTAAACAAGGGACATTTTATTTAATCATCATTATCTTGCAGTTTTAAAATTCCTCTGATAAATCTTTCAATTTGTTTAAGCTGCTGTCATGAAATGTACATGCAGTCCATTACAAGAACCCTCTCCGAAGCTGCTCCCATTTTTCTAGAAACATTTCTAGTATCACACATAATTGAAATTTGATCTGTCTTGTACTGGCAGAGGGATGTATTGTTTATGGTGAATGAGTGCCAGCGACTGTGTCGTCCTCGGAGGAACTTCATGCCCCTATAATTACTGTGATAACTCACAGACTTCACACAGTGTCAGACTTAAAGGCTTCATGTCGCTTTGGAGGCTAATTCGCAGACAAACCGTGACACTGACTCATAAAGGGAATATTTCATTCCGTTGCTCTTATGTATTTAATCAAACATTCTCTCAGATAAGAGAACAAAAAGGCAGCTTTGCCCTGCTTCCACAAACACACCTTCTGGATTGTGCAGCTGAGGCTACATGATGAATAAGTCAGATAACCAGTTGTAAAGCATCTTGGGATGCAGTATATTGCATTTGTGTGACCTATTTAGCCAAAATTCTCTATAGAGTTGATGAAATATTCTCCCTTCATGCTTCACCCATTTATCATTGTTGATGGTATTTGCTTCTATCGCCTGCTAATGCACTTGTGACAGCAATTCATTCAATTTAAGCACTTAAAAGGGAAAGTAAGGAGCTAAGAACTTTGTTTCAAGTAGCCTTTTCTCTGTGGTCTTATGAATTTATTTACTGCCTTCTTTTATCCCTTCGGCAGATGAGGAGTCAGTAATAATACTTTGGGTTTTTGGCTGGCATGCTTTCCTCATGCCCGACCTGCCAGTAGTAATATGTACAGGATGTAAGGCAGGAAACACAAGTAAGCAGTGTAGGGCTTCGACATAACAAGGCATTTCATTTGTTTTTACAGAGTGTACATGATGTGAAGTATGTCATGCGTCTTCACAAACAAAGATGAGCATTTCTCGCTTGATTGCTGAATCATAATGACTGGAATACCAATTATTAACGCGCTTAAAGCATCAGTATTTGATTTTCAGGTATTTGTACAGCATAACCTGAGCGCTACAATGCAAAATATCCTCTTACCTCCCCTCCTAATATATGTTGCTGGGATCATTTAGAAAGCAGACCTTGCTACAGTTTTTAATGTAATAAACCATTAAACGAACGTCAGTAATAATGGAAATGTGTTGAATTCTGTTAGCACAATATCTTAGGGCCACAACTAATATAATTATTTTTATTATTGATTACTCTGCGGTTTGTTTTCTTGATTAATCTATTTGTATATAAAATGTCAGATCCTGTCAATAGGACGAATGACAATGGCAAGCTGAACCTGTTTCAGTGTCCACACCTGACTATTGTAAAAAGCTATCCTTTTAAAATAATAAAGCCCCAATAATCTATGGGCTTCATATTAATCCCAGCCACGTCTAATGTGTAAATAGAAAATGTTTACTAATTCATCCATTCATTTATATAATGACTCAATTAGCATAAGTGCTTATCTTTCATATATCACAGTGAACTCTGACAAAATATTTGACATCTTAAATAGGACAGCTATTACATTACGAGGATCATTTTCATCATTTAGCCATCCGCTGTAATTTATGGCATCCCTCTATCACACTAATGGAAATATATGACATTAATAGTTGTTGCTGTGATGTTTACAAACTAATTTTGTGACCAATGTTAAGCCTCAAATGAAGGCGTCATCTCATATTTACTGGCTGTATGAGATCAGTCTTTGTATTTGACAATATGTGTAAAGTTAAATGGACATTTTGTGATGCGGAGAAAGCGGCGCCACACATCTGATTCCATTTTGGTCTTTTTGTTCTGACATTGTCTCGTTGACCTTTTCAGATTCTTCCTCAGACAGATTTGTGGTGATGTTTACACAATCAAAAGAGGACCATGAACCCCGATTCCTGCTCTCATCCTCTTCCTTATGCGATGCCGAAGAGTGACACGTGGCCAGGCGGCATTGCCATGGAATCCTTGAGCAACATAGACAGTGCCGGTAGCTGCGACAGTGTAATCAGCATGAACTCTGGCTATGTGAGTGCTGCTGTAAACCTCCTCATCCCTGTCCAACTGCCTCTGTTGCCTGTTATCTGAATAAACACTACTTTTAATGACGCTCCTGTCCTCTATTGGAATGGGGAACTGAAATGTGTGCATCAGGTTGTAATGATGTCTGCACAGACATTTACAGGCTGAGTGATGATGAGAGGAAGTTAATCTGTTTGAGGTTAAATGCACTCATGTTTGTTAAGAGCGAGGCCTCCATAGGGTTCAAGTGAGAGTTTGCTTTAAAGATGACCTGCAATGAGAAGGTTTCACGTTGTTTACAGATACCTGCAGTCACCTGCAATAAATTCTTCTGACAGGCCAGTATAGAATGACATATAGCCAATAACAGGACTGGAGTAGTATACATAATAATATAATAATAATACATTTTATTTGTAATGCACTTTAAATTTAAGACAAACCTCAAAGTGCTACAGGTAAGATCATAAAAGCAAGGTAAAAAAATTTCCATAGATGCACTGGTGGGTGAGAAGTGAGACCTTGTATTCAATCCTAGCAGAAACAGGAAGCCAGTGAAGTGAATGGAGAATGGGTGTGATGTGTTCGTACTTTCGCACTCTCATCAGGAGAGCACTAAATTGAGCACTAAACAACTTATAGGATAGTCTCTCATTTGAAATGGATCGTGGGTTAAATGGAAGATAGAGATTTCTGAATGTTGAGAAACCACACACACACACACACACACACATATAATGTGTCTAATATGTTTCACATTCTCTTATTTCGTGTTCAGAGTGAAGACAGCATGGAGCACTTATCTGCGGAAGAGAGGGCGTGTCTCATGTATCTGGAGGAAACGATTGAAGCGCTGGAGGTGCAGGAGGACAGTGGCATATCCAATGATGAACCAGAAAGGGGTGAGCTGGCAACAGGGTCATGGGCGGCCAAGGCTCATTGATGCATTGATGCCTCGACTATTGCAATGCCCTCCTAGTGGGTCTTGCAGCTTGTGCGGTGAAACCCCTACAAATGGTTCAGAACGCAGCAGCGCGTCTGGTTTTTGATCAGCCCAAAAGGACTCATGTCACTTCATTACTCAGTGACCTCCACTGGCCACCCGTGGCCTCCCAAGTGACATTCAAGTCAGTAATGCTTGCATATAGATTGACTGCTAGGTCAGCACCCTTCTACCTAAACTCCATAATTCATGTTTATGTTCCTTCTCGGCCACTGCGCTCCTCCAGCGAACGCCGCCTAGCTCTGCCATCCCTACACACGAAGCAATCTCAGTCCCAGCTGTTCTCATCTGTGACACCACGATGGTGGAACGAGCTATCACATGCCATCAGAGCAGGGGCATCCCTCTCTAACTTCAAAAAGCTCTTGAAAACTCATCTCTTCCAAGAACATTTTCTATTATATCACCTCTAACTTGTAATTTGTAAGCTCTTCTTCTTCTATTCCCTTACAATTATCTTGTATTGATTGCACTTTTTTGTTAACTCCTACTTCTTTCCCTAACTATTTACCCCATTGATACGATATGTTATTATTAGCTCTTACCAGTATGCCATTTATTGCTGCTCTTACTAGTATGTATTTTCAGTTGTAGATCTTGTGCTGTATATGTTGTTCCTCAAATGTAAGTCGCTTTGGATAAAAGTGTCAAATGAGTAAATGTAAATGTGGGGAGCGAAGGCTGGCCCATGTGGTCTGATAGGTCAAATTAGTGAAAAAGTTGATGCTGGTTGTGAAAGGTGTCCAAACACATTGCATACATAGTGTCCATGCCTTGAAGGGTCAGGGCTGTTTTGGTGGCAAAAAGGGGAATGAATGAATGAATGAAAGGAGAAGGAATGACCAGCAGATGGTTATAAGATTATGGCTGATCAGTGTATGTATGTATGTATGTATATGCACACATTTTACGGTAAAATAAAAGCAATAACTGCAATACTAACTGCAGCAATTGTGCTTTTCTTTCTTAGACATTTCCAGTTTGAAGTCCAGAGCAGACCAGAAATCATACATATCTGAGCATCACGCTCTAAATCAATCCACAGAACCACAGTCCTCTACTGCCTCTGCAGCCAAACTGACAGATCTCGAAACATCGGTAAACCTCATGACTCAACCCAAACCTCCAGTCACTGAATCAGTCGCTGGTTGGGAAATTCCCCCATCAGCTAATCAGCCGCAGGTGTGTTCATCCAAAGATGGAGTTGGTAGTCTAAAGATTGTCTCAAGTGAAAGGTTTTGCCCCAGTCTGTCCACTAAGGCCTCTGAGATAGATCTGGGTCTGATCCCTCCACCCTCAGACTTCATGGATGAGCCAGCCCCCCCTCCTCAGCCAGAGAAAGCAAGAGACCTTCGTCCATCTGCAGGAATATCCAATAACAAGTCAGGAGCAACTGTTGACGTGGAGCAGCTACGCCAGAGAGCCTCTGTGAAGAGAATTTCACTGAGCTCATCTGTGACCCAGGAGCCTCCAAACAAGCCTCCAGAAGTGAGTCATTTAGCCAGCAGCTCTGGTCCCCAAATACATCCTCCTCCTGCTACTGAGCCAAGAAGTCCACCTGCTGTGGCCCCTAAGCCCAAGCTTCCTCTCAACATCGTTCTAAAGTCACACAAGGCAGCAGCGGCTGATGGCAACTCTGGGCGTTCAGTGCCCACTAGCAGTGACCGGCTGTTGTTAGACCCCCAGAAGGTGCGCATTGAGGCCCTCCGAAAGCTTGGCCTGCTTAAAAGCGATGAAGCAGATTTAGGCTCTGCCGTAAGCCCTAAACTTTCCCCCAAAACTAGAGCATCATGGGCAGCTCCTCCTCCTCCTCAAATCAGCGCTGCAGCTCCACATGCACCACCTTCAACACCATCTTACACCCATGTCAAAAGCCCACCTCCTGCCTCTGTCCCTGTCCAGTCTGCTGAAGCTGTGTCACCATCAGGTACTTCTACAGCTCCTGCAGTCGAGTTTCCTGATATTTTCCCAGTACCTGATGCTTTCAGTGACTCCAACGGATCTCTGCTGTCAGATAATGAACTGTCTACTGTCAAAGGTGTTTCAGAGGCCGCAGTCAATGCACCGGGGGATTTACCTCCTCTCTCCGCTCCTGTCCCTTTCAACAACCTAAGCCCACCCAATGTCGTAGGTGTCAAGTCAGCCACCCTGGAGCGCTGTGGCCTAGGTCTAAGCCACTATATGGCAGGTCAGGACTTCGATGAGGCCAGCCAGGACATCAGCAGCAAGCAGAGCCCCAGCCATCTGCGTAACAGTCGGCCGCGCCCCGCCTCTCTGGGAAGTGGGAAAGAGCTTTCAAGCGCTCAGGGAGAGGGTTCCCAGGCAAGTTGTGCCGCCAGCAAAGGGTCGGATTCCCGGAGGTCCGCGCCTCCTTTCCAGCACCCAGCAGACTCTCAGAAGCTGCCTCGATCGCAAGGCATCAGTGTACTGATCTGCCCTCGTGCAGAGAATGGAGATGACCGTCGCGAGGCCCTGAAGAGGCTGGGGCTGCTCAGGAACTGAGGCATCGACACCAAATCTTAAAACCCCTCTGACTGCCACGGACTCCCTTCGGATACTATATTTAAAGGAACATACCAGAGATTGATACATAATTGATGAAGACATTCCAACTATTTTGGGAAGCAGCTTAACCACACGTGTGCATTATCTTTTAAGCTATTATAACCAGAGACTGACTTTAATACATTGAATGTTATGTCCACACTTGCATCCCCTTTTTACTCATATTTAACAGCCAGATATACAGTGTTTTATTTCTCATAAAACTGACGATCGAGGCATTTTGGATATTCACTGACTCTCTCGCTGTCGCTGTGGTGTTTATAAATTAAATTATGTTACTTTTAAGAAGCCATGATGAGTTGTTTTGCCATTTTAATGTTGCTTGTGATGTACAGGTTTTGTAAATCACTGTTTGCTTTCAAAGTTATCGGTTTGCTGGTTCCTCTCTTAGTTCTCCTTTTAAGAGACTTTTAAAGGTCACTTTTGTTAATAGTTTCACTTCCTGAAATTCTTTGGACTTTTTTGTCTGGCTTTGTTGACCACAGGAAGTTTTTTTTTTTTTTTAGTAAGCACTGGCTAATATTCAAATGTTTGTGTACTTGGGCTGCATCAGCGCAGTTTGTCAAAGCCAAGTCTGCATTATAATTTCAGGCTGTTGATTCAATGAATAAATAAAAAAATTTCCTGCATTGCTAGAACATCCCTTACTATAACTCAAAGCACATATTCAGTGCCCACTTGATGATAAGAATCTAAAACATTTGGTTTGCACGGTTGTATAGTGACGAACATGTAAATACTCACAAGCTTCTTACACAGCAGCTATGTTTAGTGTCACTGTGGGTCTGTCTGTCAGCTGCACACAAGCAGATCGAACACTAAGCTCTATTTTAAATACTGGATCATATGCTCACTGTCCCTGTATTGCCCACAAGTCACACATTTCTTTTGTGTGCATTTGGAATATGTCATGTGTTACTCTCTGGTGACTTGTGAAACTTGGGCCCTCATGTGTCATGTCAAATCACGAGCTGATGACGAGAGAACTGGTGCAGCCTGTTTTCTCGCCTCCTGGTTTATTCTTTATCTAACACCTTTGCTGCACATTTGCGAGCAGACGGTCTGTCTGAAAAACACTTTTATCAGTGCTGCAGTCTTTTAGAGACAATCAGATCTCTCTTTCCTGTATTTGCCATTAAGGTCACCCACTGCTGTGAAAATGAAGCTCAACTTGAAAGATATGTCTCTATATTGGAATTAATACCAGGTTGACACACTGTAGAGTTGGAAGAGAGCACAGAAAAAGTGTTTGAATCAACAAATTGTTCCATTTTTGGAGTAGAACATAACCTGGCCAGTGTTGCAAAGGTTACCAGTACTTTGCTGGTGGAGTAGTGTTGTGTGCCCAAACTGATAATCATTCAATCAATCACTCTTATATTTTATTGTGCAATTAGATGTACTTATTGGTGTGTCATCTCTGAATGACTGCATCAGTGCCAAGTGCTACCTCATCTGTCAGTGTTGTGTAGACCTGGTCTACACCATAGTCGGATTTGAATATTGTTTTGAACATTTTAGTTTAAGATAAAACACATAATTTGCAATAAAGATACATTAGACACTGTTTATTTTACGTTCATACCAATCACTAAAAGGTAGCAGGTCACAATTATCATTGGTTTTGCATTATTGCTAGTTTAGCTTATAGCGAACATCGTTCTTTACTGTAAAGCGGAAAGAAGAGGAGGCAGTTACGTGCTGTCAAACCAACACAGGTTGCTTTGTGCTGCTCGGTGGCATGTTGGTATGTGAGCTATCTTCACTTTCCACCTGTCTGGTGTCCAACTGCCAGCAGATCTGACTGACACCTCGGTGACAGTTCCTGTCATGTTATCCTAGTAGGCATCATAGATCAGCTGCTATGAATAACATGCAATATCACTCTGCATACCTTGCTCAATTCTCAGTGTGAAGTTACTAAGATGGAATCTGAGATGAAGAAAGAAACCAAAACCGAATTTATGACTCCTTAGCTTTATGATAATGGTTATGCAAAATTATTATATGATAGCAAAGACAAAATATGTTTATTAGTAGGGTGGGATTATGCTTGTTCATACCATTATCATTCTACAGCTCAAGTTTTCAAATAGTGCGGTGCGGCCTGCAGGGGGCACAGGAGAGTTGAGTTAGTTAGCCTATAATTTGGCCCAGTGATTTGGTCTGCCAATTAACAAAACAGCACTCAGTTGGAGCAGCAGCAGTGACAAACACCTTATGGAGGCTATTAAGGTACTTTAAAACCCTCAGCGCAACAATACGCGGCAGAATTGATACTCTTTGTACTCAACTCTACTACTCAGTCAAATCTGAACACACAGATATGATTCGCATATTTTTAGATTCGTGACTTCGAATTTACGAGGATATCTTGTCGCCTATAAACGTCCATAAATTCGCATAGAACTCATAGAAAAAAAAGACTCTTTAACTCCACTACTTCCCTGAGAATCATCACGTTTTTAAGTGGCCTTCAGTGTAGAAATAATCCAGTAATATATATTTTTATACATACATCCAGGAACTGCTAATGGCTAATTCGGCATATTTTAATGGTGCCAATTTGCCTAAATGTAAAACAGTGTCAGACTTTAAAAAACCCTGTTATAAAGAAACAGGTCGACCACTAGAGGGCAGTCTAGATTCATGCGTGTGCCTGCACAACCATGATTGCTGCAACCAGACTTCCCCACTGTTGGCGGCTCATATGATAGGCAACATTTGCTAATGTGCACAGACGCAAGAACATCACATGCTGATGAATACACTGCAAACAGACTCCGCTCTTTACACAGAGGAAATGATGAATTTAAACACGTCTGCTTGTTTATATCACAACTTACATGGATCCAAAAATAGTGGAAAGTGGAAAGGGAGTAGTGGAAAGTAGTGCATGACACATTTAGTGTTGTAGCTAGCAGATGTATTTTGTTTGCATACTTAAATTTTCTTGAGTTCTAATCTTTTAAAGATGATTCATTATGAAACTTGCAAAGTCTTTTTATCACACTCATTTATATATCAAATGAGGTGATAACAGCAGATAATTTGTTGTTAAATGTTGAGGACAAGACTGTATTTGCTGTGATTTCGAGTGGTTTTAAATTCAATAATTCATAATAAAATGTAATATAATAATTGTATTCTTATTCATTTACTTAAAGGGAAAATGCTGGGGAAAGTCAGTTTTGCAGTTATTTCAGCCAAGGGGAAATAAGTTCGCATCAACATGCCCATTGCAGCCAAAATCAATGACTTTAACTCAATTTCCATTTTATTTGCCTCATATTTCCAAGTCTTTTTGAAGCTCAGTCATTCAGAATGTGGGTAATAATGAAATTGGTTTGCTAATTAAAATTAATTTGGTTCAGCTGTTGATCCATGAAGCATCTCATAAAACTGGCTTTTGTAGGGGAAACAGGAACTGTTACGTTTTAGTTTTTTAGATTTTCTTACAGACCTTTATTTGTAGAGTCTCGGGAAAGAATAAGTTTTAAAAATATATATTATTTTTTACAGTTTGGTTTTGTACTGCTTATGAGGTGAGACGAGGCCTGAACCAGCGTGACTCTGAGCGCTCGGCTTGGTCCTGAGCTGCAGTTTTTATCTTTTCAAAAAAAAAAAAAATTCTCATTCAGTCTCATTCCTCCCAGAGGAAATGATTCAGGTCAGAGTATTAGTGAAGAATGTAACAACTGAATGTGGGCGATTTGTAGGAAGGTGGTACTCATCAATGTGTCACAATGACCCTTACACATAATCATCACTAAATGGGATCTGAAGTTTGATATTTCACTGGTTAGAGGAATGAAATGAAATGAAATTCTTGAAGGTTTAGTAATATTTGGTATTTTATGACACACACACGAGCTAAACCTCCACAAAGCTCCTGGGATACACTCCCTGGTGTTCCCTGTTGGAGCAGGTAGGCCTAGCCGCTGCACTATCAGGCTAGACGGTGAGCTCATGGGACTTACCCACCGTCCTGGACTTGTTCTGTACTTACCTACTTACACAGTGTATATATGAGGCTGCCAGAAGCCTGGTACCTTTCTCCACGTATGAGTTGATCATAGAGGATTACTGTAGACAAAGTGGCACAGAGCCACTGCTGAGTGTGCTGGGGTTTAAGCATGCCCGGCCCAGTTCTGTGTCATCATAGTTTACTTTAAATATACAGGTATTATTTCTCTCTTGTGTGTGTGCATTCAGATCGGCAGTAAGTACTGTTATACACTTTGGTTGTATGATGATGATTTATACTTTGAATGATACGGGCTCATCAGTAAGGATTAAACTTGGGATCTTAACAGGGCAGTGTCTCCCTCGCTGTCTCATTTGATCTTGATACGTCCACTTGATTACAGTTGTACACACACACACACTCACACACACACACCCACACACATACACACAGGTAGGCGCACAGGCCTGTATCCCCTCCAGCACCCGCATGCTCACTCACGCAGCTAACAAGCCTGTCCATATCTTGTCTACCTCCTTGCTGCAACAGCATTAAGACTCTATATATGACTGGGACTCAAGGAAAACAAGCCAGATAACGCTCATTAGAAGGTTTCATCTCATCTGACATTTCCACTCATGTGATGTTACACATACAGCACAACTCAAATGCCTCTTGTGCCACAGGGGTAGTTTTCATCCATGATGCTGCAAACGTAGTCCTTGACAGGCAAGAATGAATCTTTCAGTTTGTTAGAGTGGCTGTGTGTGACATCTCAGTTCCTTCCGACTTGATAACTGCATTTCCTTTCACCCCCGTCTCCCTCCTCCTTTCTTGCTCCCAGTGACTGAGGCTGTGGTCAGGAGGCATACCTGGGGCAAGCCCACAGCGTTCGCTGGGATGCCTGTACTAAAGTTTGGAACTCAGCAAGCCACTCTGCTCCCCTGTGGTGCTGGCATGGTGAGTACCGAGTGATCCTGCTGGGCCTGCGGTGGAGTTAGTAACCTCTCATATGAAGCCCCTGCAGAGAGGAAAGAGAAGGGAAGAAAGAGGCAAATCTTCTAAGCTATGAGCGTTGGCGTTTTTAGACATAAATCTTTCAAACAATTGGGGAGCATAAATGTTGAACTGGAAGAAAGTAAATGAGGAGCTGAGGTGATGTGTCTCCGTGTATGACCATCTGGAAGAGAACATTAGGCTCTCTGCAGGGCTTCTAACTCTTCTAAGTCATTAGTATGCAGTATAGTACAGTGGTGGCTCTCACAGATGCCTCACAACATGCATCCATCTTGCATTTATCTTACAGCAACAGCTGTTGGAGCACCGTCTGACTTTGATATTTCAGAGTCAAAATAAAAAGTAGGTTGTATAAACACAGTCCAAAACAACTGGACACCACATATTTTTAACTTCTGATGGTGGAAAAGTGAAACATTTGGAGTTTGCAAATAACTATTATTAGAGATGGAACCATTGTGGAATGTTGTTAAATGTGGTATATCTCTGATAATCATGCATTTTTCATATAGAGCCAAATAGTGAAATGCTCCAGCTCTTTAGAAGAAAAAGTTACAAAGTGATATTCCTTTCAAATCCGGTACAATCTAATAAGAAAACAGTGCCACACAGCACGCTTTGTGCAAAACAAGTCACAGCAGGTTGTGGTCACTTACTCCGCAGCAACTCTCATGAACTTGTTGCGTAAGAACTGTCTCACGCTCTCTGAAAAGGCATATAATACATCTCCATTTGACTCCTCATCTATGAATGATCCTTGCTGCTCTCTCGACACCTTCCACACTCTCCCGCTCCTCTTTACCCGGTGTGTAGCTAAGGTCCTTTTCATGACGAGCGTCATAAATTAAACATTGCCTTGGATTCCCTCGTGTGTCTGTTCGTGTAAAAATAGCTTGGTTTGGTGCACAGTGTGATGCCCGTGCACAGCCCTCTGTCTTTAATGAAGTGTTGCCATGAAAAGTGTACTGATCCTCCAGCGTGACTTGTGCTCAGGCTGTGTGGCAATCCGTGTTCTGACTTTCTCAAACTCCCCAAGTGACTCTGAGCTCATTTGGTTATACACGTGCTCACAATTACCCAGAGATTTGGACACAGGGATATGGGATATTTCCATATCCCTGACGGATGTTATTTTAATTGCACTGAACTTCTTGACTTTGTGCTGTAGATTTACATGTTTTTTATTCTTCTATGGATGCAAGGAGGGATTTTCAGAAGGTTATTCTGCTGTACTGAATCTCTTATTTATTGAGGCCCCTAGTATCTGGCAAAACACTGGGTGAGCATGGGAAAACGTATTGAATTACCTTGTTTACACTGTCTTTGAATCTAAGGTTATATTTTCACACAATCTTTAAAGCAAAAGTAATGACAAAACTTTGATAAGATACAAGATAATGAAAAATAATCTTCCCCTTCTGGCATCAGCCACGGCTCTATTTTCAGATTGTGTGTGTTTCAAATTCTCTGCACCGTCAGAAGAAAGTAAAGTTGTTATCTCCAATCAGCCTCATTGTGAGGCCCTAATTATATTTGATTGAGGGAAAAAAAAGTCACACATTGGAGCAAGCGTGATAATTATAGTGTGGAATCTGCTCGTACGTTGGAATGCAAACATGAATACATCAACACAGCTGATTAATTTAGGTGATAATGCAAGAGGAGGTAGCAGGTGTGGGGATACAGATGCTGCAGGTCGCTTCCTGGAAACAAATATTTCATGTGTCATTGCTGGTGAAATGTGGCACAGTCGCTCAGTGGGCTTGGCTCCTGTTAATGTGAGAGAGGTCTGTTTTGATTCATGTAACTCCTCAAGCCTCATTCCTTATCAGGTCTTGGGCGTAATGGTGTGCATACGGTGCTTTATTATCAGCGATTTGCAGGGATGGCAGCAGTCTTTAACCCATTCAAGTTATAATAGTCTTTATTTGCTTAAAGGAAAAATTGTCTTTTTAAAACATGCTTCACACATACCTAAGTGAATCTCCATATAACTGATTTCTGACATCAGGCAGGACTTTAGTTTTTCAAAGCCAGGAGCAAAATGAGGGAAATGTGGCAGTTGAGCTGAATCTCCTGCAGGGAAAAACTAAATACTCAGTACTGAGGAGATGATAATGTGGTGTTGGTTATGGTTTTGGAACCAGATGACACAAAAAATTATTCGTATTTAGTTGGATTTTTCGGGGGGGGGGGGGGTCCCTACACCAGAGGATTATTATAATGCTTTCATCAGTGTTCCTGTAAACAATTACTGATTGTTAGTTATCATACCTGAGGAATAAATTCATCTTGAACAGCTGGTGTAGTTTATTCATTCAACATAATAACTTCAACAGGGCTTTTTATTCATGTACATATTTTTATACAAGTTACAGGATTTCAGTTCTTCATGCAGGTCCAGCTCCAGCTATAACAGGGATAGGAAATTGCTTTTAGCCCCCAATTGACCCTGGAATAAGAATGATATGCAGAGAGAGTTGGGGTATAAATTAAAAACTGTAGGTTTGCGTTTTCCACTTTCAAATACGTTTTGCAATTTCGTGCTTAACTCTGTCAGTTGAACTTTTAACCCTATTCAGTTTGCAGCTATTGAGGATAAAGATTAAGTGAATGTTATTTCACCCCCTAAATTTAATTTCTGTTAAGAATGTGTGCGAATCTTGATGTGACTTTTTCCCAAATGAAAGCATTTGTTTTTGACAAACTTTTTTAATGACAACGTTAATCTCCCACCAGTGAGACAGCAGACATCATCACAGAAACGCTGCACCCGCGACCCCATGAAAACTGGGGTTTACTGGTTTGTTAGTTGGACTGGAGGAGCTGCAGCCTTACACAGTCTTCTGGGCTGTGAACAAAATGCAATCTCCAGGCTATTACTTTTCCCATCTGAGTCATTTGGAAATCCATCCGCCCTCTTGTCCCCCTTTCAGCCATTGCTTTTACCACGCTTACGTGATGGGCCACTTTTTTTTACCTCTCTTTTTTTTTTGCGCAGGTGGCACCGACCAGGTGACAACACGAGCCAAACCTACCGTGCACGTGGTACCCTGTTCCGGCTCACCTTCAGCCGAACCAGCACCTGCGTCTAAGTTCCCGCAGAACAAAAAGGGAAACAGGGAGGGCCAGTCAGAAAAGAGAAGGAGCAGCATAGGAGTCCGGAGCGCAGCGCGGACGCTTCTTCTTCTCTCCTCCCCCTTCAGACCCCGCCGCTCCACTCCATCTCTCCCTCTCTCTTTTCCTTTTCCTCTCTCTCTCTCTCTCTCTCTCTCTCTCTCTCTCCCTCTCCCTCTCTCTCTCTCCCTCTTTCTTAAATTGACATTGGTCTGGCTCGAAACATGATAACAGAAAAGCCTTCCTCTGCTCCGCGTTGCCGGGCTGTCCTTAACCCGATCACTTGAAACTCAAATAAGCAGGCGTAAAGACGAAAAAGGATTGCACAGTATCCTATCAGCGGGTGCTCAGAGGGAATAACGATAGACCTTTTATACCACACACACACACACACACACACACACACCCTTGTATGTGCTATTGCGCATCGTAGATCTTAGAAAGTGCTCTTGTTCAACTACGGTGAAAGTTAACATGTATATGCACGCTTTGATACGCGCAAGCCTGGGATTTGTAGGTTTCTGCCTGGTCGCCTTTGTCCAACAGTCAGCTTCAGGAAGTAAACCCACTCAAGGTAAGTTTTTTACGTCAAAATAGCCCTTTTTTTTTCATTTTGCTCCTCGTGCTGTTTTTGCCAGACAGCTTGGAGCTTAATTAATAGATCTGTCAGATGCTTCTGGAGAGCTGATGGTGAAACTTAGCAAAATTGGGATCAGTTGTCTAATTAAATGGAGCTTAAATGTATGTTTATTAAAACAAATAAAAAGCATAGTATTGCATGGGGTGAAAGTGGATTTAATGAGAGTCTTTGATCCAACAATTATTGTTGATTCACTGACCAATTTTTGCAGTCACTTGATTGCTTGTTTTCTTGTGTAGGTATAATCCCTTAAGGATATTTATGCAGACTTGCTCAGGCAGAAAAGAAATGAAACACAATATGGCTTAAATTAAGTTTTGCAGTGAGTTTTCTGTTGTCAGAAAAAACAGTTGTCTTTGATCTTCAAACAGCATCTGCAGTGTGAACAGTTATGTTTCATAGCTAATCCTACAGGTAATTGTAGTGAGACTACCAGGAGGCATTTGTCACAGTCCAGACAAGTATTTGACACTGGCCTGTAACACACACATGGAGGGAGTCTCTGCCTGTCAGACACTGCAGCTACAGTACCGTCCTGCCCAGCTGGCTGCCCTCTTGCTCTCTTGTCTTGTGAGAAATTATTCAGAGCAGACAGGGGCAGCCTGAATCAAAACTCTGGCACCTTCACAGGAACAAGAGAGACACAGTGTTACACACTCTGATCCACTCAGCCGTCTCCTCCAGGTTTTCATCACTTAATTTTCCCACAATACAAATGCCAAGCCGGAGCTGCCAGAAGTATTTGCATGCAAAGACACATCATGGTTTCTGTGTGAGTGTTGATTGTGGTTAGTGATGTTTCGCACACACAAAAAGACATCTCTCGGGCGGTCGACAAGGCAAAAAGAGAAAGGGGGTGGGTGACTATTTTGCATCCTGGGTGGTCTGCCCCCACTTGTGGGAAAACTCAATATTTACATTTTGCAATTAGAACTACTTTTTCTCACTTTATTTTCCACAACATCGATTACACACTTCATTGTAGCGTGGAATGCTGCTGTATGAGTGTCGATCTGTAATGGCATGCACCTGTTTGTTGGTCACCAAGTGAAACGCCATGGACAACCACTTGATAGGCTTCTCCTCCGGTTCCTGTTTATCAGTGCAATGCAAGCAGCTCTGTAGTGACATATTATCTGTGTTTGGCTCTGAAGTTATTTGTGAGCATATTTTGTGCCTTACTGAAAATAAATTTTGTGTTTGATGTTGGTGGCACTTCTGTGGCACTGGCAAGTCTGCACGCTGGGAACAATTTTGAAAACTGGAGAAACGGAGACATGAACAATGACACAAAAAAGCACAATTTGTCAGCTCAATATTTATTCAACGCAGATGTTTCCAACGAGAGAGTCTTTGTCTTTCATCAATGTCAGCCTAATCATGGCACTGTGTTTCAGGCATCAGTCATTACTGGGGGGGGGGGGTGGAATGAGGGAGGGAAGATTTGAGGATGTGGTGGAGAGAATGACAAAGAAGGGAAAAATGAGACCGGGGGAAACAGGAGAGATTAAGGGTGCAGAGACAGACAGTGAGAGAGGAGGTTTCTTAGTGAGTGAGCAGCAACAAGCGAGGGAAAGAGAAGGAAAGGAAAGAGGGGAGCCATGGACGTCATGGCAAATCACTTTCCCTCGAACGGAGTCAGGAGCTCTTCGTTAATGCAGCGGCACCAAGGCAACGGTTGGTGTGGGGCTGACATGCTGCTGTGGCTGGCTATGTTGGTGTAACCTCTGCTCCGGGGCCTGGGGGTCTAAAGACGCAGGGCTGCCTGAGTGGGGAAGAAGGCCAGATCCAGGCCTGGACACACTGTGGGAACGGAGCAGCCTTGGCAATATGAGGCCCAAGTGATGGGGAGGCTTTCCTAGAGATGCTGCCCGAGTCTTCACTATGAGTGAGATGGAAAGGAAGAACCCCCCCTCCCGCCAACACTCCCTCACCCCTTCCCTTATTCTTTTTCACCCAACTCTTGCTTTGTTTGCTTTGTCCTCGCTTCCTTTCCTTTGCACTTAATGAAGTAGCTGTGTCTTTTCTCTGTCAGCCATAAGCAACGGCTGCATTACACCCACCGTGTTAGAAAGCTCGCTGTCAGCCCATGTGCTATTTATATTTTTTGCAACAAAAAAGACCCTCTGTCCCCATCGCCGCTTTCTCCCAGTCCTGTCCTTTTGTTACTTGATCGATGGCTAGATATGTTGCAGGTCTGTGTAAGCATGAAAGTATCAGCGTATGTGTGTGTGCATATGTGTAATTGGGACAGTGAGAGAGGGTATGGGCTGTGTCTGTGGTAATTTGAAACTGTATGTGAAGCCACATAAAAGAACCGTTTAAATGGGGCTTTTATTTCTGCCTATCCATTTGGCCTTGAACTTCTCTAAACCTTTGCTGTTTAGTGGGGAGGGGGGGGGGGGGGGCAGACAGAGACTGTGGCTCTGTGTTCTGTGAACATGGCCGGTCATCTTGCTTTAGCATTTTGACAGCACTTTGGCATCCCTCTTTCATCACCTTCACTCTCGTCTCTCAGTCTGTATGGCTTCTGCATTGCCCCTGAGTCCTGACAAGCTCCTGCGGTGGTATTTGTTGAGCTGTTACTTATCCCCTGAGACTGGATGTGCCTTAAAACAAGCAGACGTAAAAGTCCCCATTTATGTCTGCCAAAGTACCAATTTTAGTAATTTTTAACTGGGGGCGAATGGAAGATGTATTCAGGCCAGCCAGGAAGAAAGACTTCTGTCCTTATCGGGTTGCTCTGTGACTTTGAGAAGTTAAGGACGCTGCAGAACTTTGCGGTTTGGATCACTTATTGACTGAAGTGACATATCACCCTTTAATTTCTCCTGTTACTTCTCACTAGGTAAGCCCAAATAAAGCAGATGAGCTCTTAACCAATGCCAAATGCCATTTTAGCCCATACAAAAAGGACTCTCATGATGACGCAAGCCGAGCTTGTCTCAGTCTGTCTTTTCTCTTTCTGCAGCAGGCATGCAGTGTCAGATAGTTGTGTTCTCGTTATGATCAGAGTGTCTGAGGCAGGTTGAGCCTCAGGGTAGCCCCCGGTCACTTGCTGATGAGTGGGTGGAGGGGATCAATCCAGCTTCACTTTACCACTCAGCAGACACTCACAGAAAGCATCTCCCTGACAAGTGGTGCTCCAATACCACTGTACATGTTGTTACAGAGCAGCCGAGAGAGCAGAGAGATTATTATCTTGGCATTACTTGAGTGGTGAAAACACTTGATAACTATTCTGTCCAAGAGCATCGCGGTATGAATCATGAAAACGACTTTGATCTGTGGGTGTGTTGTAAGGACGAGTGAATGTGTATGACTGCGATGAGTGATTTTAGACTGGATATTAATGATTGCACTTAGCAGGCAGAAGTGCTTTCACTTCCCAAAATGAGGATTATATATAGAGAATCCTTTTTAAGGGTTATTGTGCCTATTTTATTCTAACTCCACGGCTTTTGGTGTGGCCAAACTGCAGCTTAATACAAACATTTTAGTATAGTTTTAGGGCAGGCAGTCTGCAGCTACATACAGGGTGAGTACCATGTTTACGGGCACATGTAAAGTCGAAGCTGTCTGGCACAAGCTGTGACCCAAGGCAATTCAGTGGGCCTTCGTACTGGACAGTTGCTCACTTTCATCCTGGCTGCTGGAATGTAAAACCAAGACATTTTCCTCTTTGCAACTGAGTGTCAAAGATTGTGGCCTCAAGAAATATGACTTCTCTGCTCATAAGTGCACTTTCCAAATGATTAACATTTAATCATCTATTTTACCATGTCATTTTTTGCTGCATATTCTAATCTTTCTTTGTTAAGAAAACGTGAACTAGGTCATCATTCCACTGTGTTGTAAGCTGCAGGATAAAGTTTTACTATTGCATTTTGATTAAGGAAATTAATTTGACGGCATTCATTTAAAGGAATCGTTCAGTTGGTTGAGAAGATTGATGCCACTGTCATGCCTGTATATTAAACAAAAGGCTACAGCCAACAGCTGGTTAGCTTAGCTTAGCACAAAGCATGGAAATGGGGGGTGAGAACAGCTAGACTGGCTCTCTAAATGGTTACAAAATCCACCTACCAGCACCTCTTAAGCTCACCAATTAATACATTACATTATATTCAATCCATCTGGTGACTTCCTGGACCCTCTTCTGGTTGTAAAACAGTGAATTGTGATTTTTACACTTCAGTTTTTGTACAGAATAAACAAAAATGTTGAGGAGCTAATTAGCGAATTTAAGGGATGCTGACATGACAGTGGTGTCAATCTTATCATCAAATTTTTTTTCGATAGATTGCAAATAAGCGTATTTCCCAAAGTGACAAGCTTTTGTTTTAAAGTCTCTTGGAAATAGCTGTTTCAGTGTGCATGTATGAGTAGGAAATCTTCAGTTTGCGTCAAATTATATTTGTTTAACAACTGCCTTCTCATCATCTGCATGCATAAACTATTCTAATCTGTTTTACACATTGTGTATGCAGTACGAATGTTAGGTCACAGCCAAACAAAACCCTGTGACAAAACCTTAACCTGTGGACGCAGATTCCCTGCTTCTCCCCAGGGGAACCCCTGATTTGTTGAGATCCCTCCGCCTTGGTACCTTTTCTCCCTTCCTCAAGCAGAAAATCACTTTATCAGTAGCTAGCGAGGCCCTTGTGACCACAATTTGTCACCTCATTTGGAATGGTTGCAGGGGCTGACAAAGCTGTAGATTTCATGTGCAACAGAGGGCAAAAAAAGTTGTTTAAATCACCCTCAACTTTCCAGAGAACACCAGGACAACTGCTTTGTATGCAGCGCCAGTGTCCAGTGGTAAAAAAACCCAACTTTCAACCCCTCACACTCAGGAGTAAGGAGAGCAGAGCTTGTTTATTTATCAAGGCTTTAATCTGAACAAAAAGTTCCAAATGAGGCCTGTGATGCTT